ATTAATTGCTGATGATGTTAGCGCCGGCACTAATAGCGAATATGTGATTGAAAAGTTACTGTTACGACCATTATATCCGACCGATTGTGTCGGCTTGGTATTTAATATGCATAGAGCGTTTTAGCATCCGTGAATGTTTGAAGTGGACAGTCATTATTCGATGGAGCAAGCAGCTGAGCCTCATGAATCGCCACAAATGTTTGCAAAGCAGCCGTAATTTCATTTTAGGTACTGATTAGTAACTTGTTATTAACAATTTAGCCCAATCAGACGCGAACCGGTCCAAAATTGACATGTCCAGTATAATGGCATCCTTATAGCGACAACTTTAGGACGTGACGTGCTAATTTTCGTAAAAAATTTCAAGACGCTTGAAGTACGATGCACACGGTACGCCACCCATCCAACTGCTAGACCAGTCGACTCAGGTGGTCCTCCCACACGTCCTCCTCGTTGGAAGCTATCTATTGATATCGAGTGAAGAACTACCGTCGGTTACGGTGCTGAATCCTGCTAATTCGCTCCGACAACGCTTTTTCAACTCTTTGTTTAGCGCACAAATACTATCGGTATACCGATCAAGGCGTCATGTATCTCAGGTAGCAGCAGGTCAGCTAACGGTTGTCCTGTGATGATGTTTGGTGGGTCCAACCACCGGGAAATCATCCCTGAAAGTCTTCATGATGGCCTGATCGCCTGGTACCACACAAATCTCGTCCATGAAGCAAGTTATGGGCAGCAGAAAATAATGCAAAGTAAATTTTACAAACCGCACATAGAAACAACCATCGTCAAATTCGTTAGCCAATGCCTTACATACAAGCGAGCATAGTTGCACGGAGGGAAACAATAGTATGAAATGCTACCACCACGTATTACTCATACGGTTAAACCGTTTGATATTGCTCACGTTAACCTTATCGAACAATACGCAGGCGGATACTACTGGAGAGCAATGATTGGTCAATCATCCCGATGGATTGAAATTGGTGTACGGACAAACAAACAATCAGGCGGCGTTTAAACGTGTTGAATGCGAATGGCGTTGTCGAGACTCGCGCCACGACGAGTTTTGCACGACCAAGGATTAGAGAACGAGAAGAATTTTTGGGAGTGATTAAGTAGTTGCGGCCTAGAGTTCAAGCCGAATGCAGTTAAGGGACCGCAAGACAATGCGTTATGTAAGCTTGTGCATTTAAAGTTACTGGACATCGTATGTTATCCTACAGGCACATATTAGAAGAAGTTTTACAATATGCCGCGTTTCTGCACGAGCAAGCTACCATAACATACTCAATGCATCTCCGTGACAGCTAATTTTGTACGAAAAAGACATGATTTCGCCCGCTCGACATTAACGAATCTAACTGGAGTTGATTGTCCTAATGGCTGTTTATATCTATCCTCGCTGACAACGCACGTGAGAATACTACATAGATCGCGCACATGTGCCATCCCGCAGAACACGGGATGATTTATAGACCTGTAAAATACCGTGCGAAGACCAAGGAAGTGTTTGATGGACCCTACTCCATTTAAAATATGCATGGACATGGAACCGTCACCGTTAACAAAGGGGAGACGACTCAGCGTCTATCAGTTCGTCGCATCTTCCCGTGCTAGCCCTCATTGCTTTATGCGGGATATGGTTTAAGTGCCACCTACACCGATTGCGAGATTGATTCGCGACTAATCTGTGAATACCCAGATGCCTGGATTGATGGTGTGGCAAAGTGATCACGAGATTTTACCGTTGAATTGGACTTAAGAGCACCATTTTGCCGACTTCAGTTAAGTCCGATAGGGGCTTCGTTTGAAGGATACGAGCTGATATTCGTAGCTCTCATTCGTGTACTCAAACGAACCAGATAGCGAATCGTTGGTGGCAAGGATGGGGAATATGCTTATACCTAGGATGATACGTAATCTACGACATATCTCAACTGAGATAGCGATCCTAACCAGAGATCGCGACTTAGCCAGAAATAGCGAGTTTGGAGCCAGCTGCGTACAAATTGGATGTGGATCACGCCAAGGTTCATGAGAAGGCGTACTTGTTGTGTACCACATAACTACAAGGGGACGATCTTTTGGAACGAGAGTAGCGTGTACCCGGATATTCGTGATACAGATAGGCCTCGAGATGTGTTAGTTTTTGGGTTTGATTGTTCAACACTAAACAGAGTTCAATTTGCTTCTAAGAAAACGTGCCAATCTCTCCTCCGGGTTGATTTACCGGCCACCTGCCGTCAGGAAAAGTTACATACTATAATTAGGTGATATTCCTGGATTGTTTGGCCACGGATCGAGGACTCTCAATTAAAACCTCAACTGCGATCGGACGCAGCAAACAAGTAAAGGCGAAGGGTGCAAGATCGCGAGACGGCTCAAGTAGTCATAAGGCTCGCGGATCAGGTATCTACTTTGAACAAGGCGATATCGTAGAGATCAAGATGACTCATATCGAAAACCTTACACGTACACCCGCTCTCGTGTGAAGTTTTCCCCGCGATAGCCCCAACACCAAACATGGTCAAGTTCGGCATCAACTCGAGTCCACCTGGAAGAGTGCGACCCGCCCTACCGACATGCAGATAAGGTGAGCAAAGTTTACAGCACGGAGTCGGAGTACATCCTCCGTAAGTCGGTCGTTCGAGCGCCAGTGGAGAGCTGGGATCGACTCCTTCAACGAGCTATCGACAATTCACTGCAATGGTAGATTGAGTGAGATGGAGCATTCGGTTGGCACGGTTGATAAAACATGGTCTTTCATTCGTCTCAATATTATTATTAATTTCGCAAGACCCTCTCAAGAATGGCTACCGAACCGATCATTCCTTTGCAAGCCACGGGTGTGTCATTTTGATTGACCGACATGCAGTCTTCATGTTTGACTTGACAGTGTGTGGTCTACCCTCAAATTAATCAGTTCCGTAATCAAAGCATCGATAATACGATCTAACTAATCGGATCAATGGGGTACGCAGCCGAACGTCGGTGGCGATTTCCCGAAGCGTGCTGTTCTTTACGCAAATGAAGCTTCACATGTTGGTGATCGGAGTAATGGGGAGGTGGAATCGTTGAAAGCCATTTTACCTCCGGTGCCCAGGTAGTCGGCGCGTAAACTTAAAAATTGTGATTGCGCAATCGCTTGTCCAAAACGGAAAGTTATTAATTGGCACCTCGATCTCTTCAACTTCTGCGTGCTTACGGAGTTGGCACGCAGAAGTCGACGAGAACCAGGCGCCTCTCAGTAACTATCACGAATGGCATGAGATTCTAGTAGTCCTGCTAAGGATGGGCTTTTCGGCTGTCGATATCGATAAAGGTTACGAAGCGTCATCTTTCTTAGCGTTTCGCAAGTATTCGGTCCGTGACGAATATTATTTGCCTCGCATGACGTACCTGAGCTCTGGCGGCAAGTGATGGGCCCCGATGTTCAGCACCAGCGAGTATGCACCTTCTCTACAGGTGATGGCTGCTACTAAGATCAAGAAGTGCTCTGCCTACGACCTCTTTGCGTTCTTTTTTTGCGATTGAGGTTTCGTCGACATGCCGGAGGTGATAGTCGTCATTAATGCCTTGAATTGGCGTCTCATCACCGGGTTGTGCGTCGATTGATGGCTCCACCAGCAATAAGCTTGCTTGTAGTAATATACACCGGCTGTAATATTAAGGAACGACCGATCATTTCTGCTTTTAATTTTTCGCTCCAACGAAAATATGCAAAGTTTTCTCTTAGTTGACTTACCCCAAGGTAATAATTTCTCAGTCATTAAAATAGGATTTCAAACCTCTTTGCATCGTGCCCCTCAAACTTGCAAATCGTCAGCTTGCGCTAGTCTGCTGTCAAAGTAGTGAAATACAGCGCTTCTTGCTGCGGATGTGGTGCTGCTACGCCTGCTGCTGGATGCTGCGTGATTCAAAAGGAAGAACGGCGTCTAGCGGAGCGTGCGCCTGATTCTGCTGTTTGTACGGCATCCAACACAAGCCCGAAGCAACGAGAACAACGAGTCCCCAATGGCAGACGTCGGCAGTAGTGGCAGCGCTTGACTATACGCTGCTGTGCTTAGGAGAGTTTCTCAGCCCATCGACAGTCATTGATCTTTCCCCCATCTTCTCTTCCAGAGCTGACGCAAATTGTCCACTCTCCATCGCGCCGCGCATGCTTATTCCCGTCGATATGCGTTCGGGAAGTCTCTATCTTCTCAATGCGTTCCGAGGGGATAGCTAGGGCCAAGATGGATTTTGTTGTCGGTAACCGATTTTCTTTTTATAGCTGGCGCACTCCAACGACATCTGCGGCGCGCCGCGGGGTTGCTGCGCGTGCCGGCGAGGCCCTTGCATGGCCTACTGTCACCGATGCGACGTTCGTGTTATTCGGCGTAGCTATTGGGCTCATGTATAAATTATGGCTGATGAGTAGATGAGGGAAAATAGATTATGCGTTGTGTTTGTTGATGCTCGCTACTATGCCGTTACTGCTTTCCCTTTAATTTGCAGACTGACGCGCCGTTCCCGCTCGAACGAATGTCCGTCCACCCATTTACTGAATCGCCTGTTCCTACTCTCTCGACCATTCACCGACTGAACTACCTTTTCTCACCTTTCCCATCAACTCATGCACGATGCATCTTGCGGAGAAAAGGCCCTACCCGCTACATTAGCACATAAGTAAAGGCGCGTGGTTCGCTTTACGCCTACCGCAATGGCTTCTTTTCGAGACGGAATATGTCAACGGTCGAGAAAGAAGCAAGTATAACATGCTCGTCATTGCTTTTTATCGGAAAGCCCAAACGCGTTTTATATGATTAGCTTTAGTCGGAAGAACGTTCACTTGATGATGTTCAGTGATAATAGCTCTCACATGCAGCACGAGAAGACGTACGTAGCCGGAGCGCCGACACAAGATACAAATACGAGATGAAAAACCACTCGACCTCCTTGAAGTAACTCAAGCACAGTCTCGCTCAGGCATTAGTGCTACTTTTTTTGAAACAATGAGAGCCTCGAAACGCCGGCGGCAGCAGCAGCACGCGACGCTCGTCGCGCAGCTCGAGCTTGTGCAGCAAAAGCAGCAGCAACTACACGAGGAATCTCTCGCCTTTGCTGTGGATCCTGTAGCCCCGGAGAAAACGGCCGCCCAGCACTCCTTGCGTTCGTTGCGTCAATTGACGCCTGAAGTAACGGTACTATGTGCACAGACTGGCGCAGTTGTCGAGCGTGTTGCGAACGCAAATGAGATCGCCGAGAAGATGACGCGCGAAGTGCGACGGCTGGACGTGATCCAATCGCGCCTGAGCGTGGTGCTCGAGCAGTCGGCGCAGCTCCTGACGCTGCGCAACGCGTTGGCGGGCATCCGACGCGCTATGCTGCAGCAGAGGTACCCCGAAGCTGCTACTTTTCTGCAGACACTCAAGAGCATTGAACAGCAAACGGCACTGGACGTAGCCGACAAGTTGCGTGTCGACACGATGGAGAACGACCTCAAAGGAGTTATTGAAAGTGCTTTCGACGACGGATTGCGGACGGGGGACAACCGCAAGATCGAGACGTACGCGCCGCTGTTTAAATTGGTGGGAAAGGACTATGAGGAACGTGGACTGATGATGCTGCTGGAGCACGTCCAACGGTCATTGGACGAGTCCATGAAGCGAGACGGAGATCCTCATGTTGATGGCTCTGATACTCAGGAAGTACTCACACGCCTTGCAGAGGTGTTCAACCAAGTGGCACAAGAAGCACAGCTGCACGCAAAGTTGCTGTCTCAGTGCTTTGATCGAGTACACGGTCCGACTCGATTTGTAGTAAAGCTTTACACGATGGGCGAGCAGTCGGCCGTGGCGCTGTTGAACACATACATGGCACAACGCAAATTTCACGAGCGCATCACGAACGTGGGGCACCTGGGGTCGCTGGCTTCGACTGATGTGACGCCATCGTCCAATTGCAGCACCAACAGCCGTGGAGCTCAAGCTGAACGAGGCGATCTCAAGGACGATTGCGTAGCCGTGATGAATGAACAGCTGAATGAAATGGCACTAGTGATTCAGCACACGCAAACTTACGAGCGCTTTATGCGCTCACGCGTGGCGTGTGAAGACAAAGACGAAGAAATGCAGGGAACTACGGAACCTGGACACGATGAGCCGACGAGTGCTACTGATGCCGAGGACGTTCCTCAGTTACCTTCAGTCCAAGAAAGTGAGCTGGGAAAAACAGTCCAGGAGCTGGCAGGGTTCTACTGTTTCTTCGAGAACGCACTGCTGAACCAAGCTGCACAAAAAGCTTTTCAGTGGGAAGAACTGCATTTCACATCCGGAAGTGATGGTTCTCGCGGTACTGAAGTCGGAGTTGATGGCGGCGATGCACTGATTTGCTTCCCGATTTCATCAGCCATTGACGAGATCTTTTACGTAGCACGCAACAGTGGGTCGCGCGCATTGGCGACGGGCCATGTCGACAGCGCGGCTGGGGTTCTCAACATGATCAACACGGTACTACGTGACGTCGTGGGAGACACGATGCGAAGCCGCATCCGTCGCATGACTACGTCCGCGAAAATGGACATAACAGCTGGAGATGCGGCAAGTTTGTTGGTTTCTTCTTCTGTGCAGTTGCGCGGTCAGATGCAGCAGCAATTTGCTAAGCTTAGCAAGACTGTTGGGCCTGTAGGCGGTGTCAATGGTGGCGGTGAGATGGCTGGTCAATCGTCGGAGCAGCGCAAGGAACACACACCTGACGTCGTACTCAACAGCTTGGAGGTGACTTCTGGATACATCGCACAATTGAAGAGCGAGTTCCAACACGAGCTGCCCGAAGCCTTCCCAGAGGTACCACAACACATTATGACTTGTCTCAACGCGCTCGAAGATGCATCAGCCGAACTTCGGCAGCTGCTTGAAGCGTCACGAAAAAAGCTGTTGAAGCTTCTGGAGCCCAAGATCGCTTCGTTTCTCAACAGTCTGTTGTCGCCCTCCTTGTCGGCAGTTTCCGCAGCCTCGGCTTTGGCGGCATCCGCAACAGCTCTGTCGTCTGCGCATAGACGCAACGGCGTACAGTATGAGCTGACGGAGGCAACATTCACATTCAACGAGGCAAATGATCCGTTTGCACACGTCTTTGTACGCGGGTTGCATTCGCTGCTAAGCTGCTTCCGTGAGAGCTTGTCGCGGAGCAATTACCGTGCTGTCGTGCAGGGCGTGGCCCAATACACTGCGACTCAGCTCGAAGCTTGGTTCGTCAGTCGAGTTGCTCGCGTCAATCAGCTGGGGGCGTTGCAATTCGATAAAGACGTGCGTGTTATTAGCACGTTTTTCAGCGGTGAAGGTGGCGCCAATGACGAAGTACGTGAGACGTTCGCCGCTTTGACCCAGCTTTCCGAGGTTCTGAACGTGGACAGTCCTCACGACGTACTGGACGTGTACGGGCGGCGACACCGCGGCGTAGCTTGGAAGTTACCAGCCGATCGTGTGAAGGAGATACTATCACGTCGCGTAGAGTTTGTCGATGCAGACATCAATCAGCTGGTCCTGAAGTAGAACGCCACTGTTGTTGGCGCAAGGGCATGCAAAGAGTGACGCGGCGGTTCAGCTGCGGTCCGTCTTCGCGCTAGCTGCAAATGCATTTGTCCACGCACGCACAATCTCTCAGGCTGCGTGCTATCGCTGCAGCCTTTCACTGCCCCACTCCCGTCGCGTCTGCTGCTCATGTATCGCCCTTTCCTCCCAAGAGGTGTTCCTCTTCTCAGCGTACGTGGAGCTGCTCGGATCTCGATCGCGGCGCGCGCTGTTCCGGCCGTGACGAGCTATAGATCTCTGGACCAATCGACGTGTGCATCCGCTTTCCTGTCGTCTTCAACTTTCACAAAACAACACAAGCGCGCGGGCGGGCGCATGTGCGTGTGCGCAGCCAAACCACTTCTGACAGCCCACTGTTGTTGTTTACCGACGCTGCGAAAAGCGCAGATGGCAAAAAACGTAAGGAGGCGCCTGCGAGGTTATATATATATATCAATGTAGTTTACAGACTCGCGATTATTGCCCCTCCGTTTCTAAACGACACGTTCATTTCTAACGCGCGCTCTCCGATGCCAGCCAAGAAAAAGCAAGTGCCTGAGATGCGGCAGCACTCTCTGTACGCGTCGATGCAATGCGTCGTCCACCCGGCGGAGTTAGACGCGGTCGAGCGGCTCGCGCTTGAGCTGTGCCTCCGTGACGGTGGTGCCACGCTGCTGACTGAAGCCGACACTGCTACCGGCAGCGCCGTGACCCACGTCGTGTGCCATCCCAAGACCTACCACACCTTTGTAAAGCAGCGACACGAGCGCTTTGTAGCTCTTGTGCGGCCCGAGTGGGTCTTCCGCACATTTTTGCTGCAACAGCTGCTTCCCGTGGACCGCTTTAGCCCTAATCCGGTGCTCATTTTCTCGACACTCGCGATCTCAGCTGGAACCATGGAAAAAGACCCGCGGAAGGTCATTAATGGACTCATTTCGCACTTTGGCGGGCAAATTGTTGACGACAAGGATGTCGCTCGAGGAGCGACGCATGTTTTGTACGGAGACGAAAGCAGTGCCAACGCTGCGGTGTCGGAGCCCGAAGAAGAGCAGGAGGGAGACGAGAACGTGCTGCAGGTTCACTTTTCTAAAACCGATCTAGGTCGGAGTGTCGACGCATGGCGTCAGCATTTGTCGTCGCAGTCGCTGGACTCGACATTCTTGCTGCCGAGTTGTGTTGTTGCTTTCATGGGGCAACGTGCTGGACTGTCGAAGCAGCATCACGTCAAGTATACGTGGATTGAGGAGTGCGTGATGCGACAGAGTCGCGTGGCGGAAGATCCTTTTGATCACAAGCATAGTGGAGCTGCTGCTACGAATGTGGACAAGAAGAAGCGCAACTGGAAGACACAGCCAAAAGTGCAGCTAGACGATCTGAACCTTAGCAAATGTGCGCAGGTGTATCAACGAGAAAAGACTGAACTTGGCGCGGAACTTTCGGTAATTCGCAAGCTGTCTAATGAGGTGAAGAATTGCACGTAGTAGCTTAGTTAGCCGTGCGCTTTGTAGTGGTAGATGGTGTGCATCGTTATTGACAGATTTGTGGTTGTTTGCAGAAATTGAAGGCAATGAAAAAATCGTTGCAAGGTGCGATAGTGCTACTCGCGCAGCATATAGCCCCACTGCTACGACAAAAGCTTTCGGACATGTTGAAGGCGGTGGATGCCAAAGTAGCAAATGTCCCGGTGGGTGACTCGTATCAGGAAATCGTGCGCAAGGTAGTTATGAATGCGTCGTTCGTCGTGTGCCGGTACCGTGGGGGATTTGAGTACAACGAGGCCGTGCGTCAAGACAAAAAAGTGGTGAGCATCTATTGGGTTCTGGCAGGACTGGTACAAGTCCGCAAGCCGACTCCGTTCAACGAGGCGATTCAGCGACCAGTTTGCTCGTTTGGCGGCACTCCAGGAATGCAGTATTTGGTAGTGACCTTGTCTGGGTACTCGAGTCAGTCAAGCCCGACACGTGAAGAATTACAAATCGCTATCCACGCCACGGGTGCGTGCTTGCTTCCGGTGCTTTCCAGGACGCACTCGACGCACCTTCTGTGCCACGATACTTCTGGAGAGAAGTACAAGAGGGCGCTGAGCTGGGGATTTGACAACGTCTTGAGTCACGAGGTATCTGTGCACTTTTGTTGTTTGCCGTCTCGAGAAAGGATAATGACGTTGTATGTGTGGTTATAGTGGATCTTTGCATGCTTGTCGAAGTGGGAGCACGTTCCCGAAGATGAGTTTCGGTACGTCGTCAACAAGGCTGATACAGTTAGCACGTCATCAGATCGCAGTGTGAAGAAGAAGGCGAGCGTAGACACTGAAGTTGACGATACGGTAATATGCGATGCGACCGCAGCGATCACGCCTAGCACCAGAAGTGCAAAAAAGGCGAAGAAGTCTGGTCAAGGGCGCTTCGATGTCGACGGTATTCTCACAGAGATCGACAAGGTGCCTACGCCTAGCGACAAGACGGTGCCGGCTAACTGCGTAGCAACGACACCGGCGGCAACGTCCAATCTATCAAGCTCGACGCCCTGTCATTCGAAAGACGTAGCTTGCACGCTGTTTGATACACCGACAAGCACAAACGATTCTCCACAGAACAAGAGAAGTACTCGACAGAAGAAGTCTGAGCAAGTGTCCGCACGTGTGAAAGTAATGGAACGAGAATGTGTGGACAAGGCGAAGGAAACCGGCGTGCAAGTCGAAGCTGTAAAGAAGTCACCGCTTCGTACCAGCACTCTGGAGACAGCGAGTATCGTCATAGCTGACCAGGAGGAAGCGACAGCGACCGAAGTGTCGGCTAAGAAGTCCACAACAACGAAGCGCAAGGGCGATGAGCCGGATGGATTGGATAAGTCAAGCAGGAGCTCTACGAAGAAGCAGAAAAAAGAGAACGCCGGTGCGAAAAAGTCAGGCGCGTCCTTAGCTCCAAAAGATAAGCGCGTATTTCTCCTGACCGGCGATCGAGACCAGGCAGCGATGCACACCGCGATAATCACTTCATTGGGTGCAAGCGTTAGTGAGTTCGGTCGCGTGTTCGACAGCAAATGTACGCACATCGTTTGCACCGAGCTCAAGCGGACGGAAAAGTTCATTGCTGGATGTGCAGCTGGCAAGGTTAGCGCTATGATGGGGAATGTTGCTGAACGTTGCTGTGCCTTATTCTAACAACAAATGGTGCGTTGTCCACGTTGTCAATTGCAGTGGATCGTAAAGCCTTCGTATCTGGACGCTAGTGCAGCAGCCAAAGAGTTTGTTGATGAAGCTGTGCATGAGTGGGGGAGGCACAAATCCGACAGTAAGGATATTGATGCGCGAATATGGCCAGGGGTGTGCGAGTACTGGCGCAAAAAGCGCGCTAGCGGGCATCCTGGTGCATTCGCTGGTTGGCGTTTCTTCATCCACGCGAAGTGCACGCCTCCGCGTGATATGTGCGAGCGCATCGTTCTCGCTGCTAACGGCTCAGTGATCCCGCTTAGCAAGTCTGCCGCTGACTTTGACAGTTTGGCCAAGGAGTCGACCCCCGAGGCACCTGTTGTGGCACTCTTTCCACCGGAAGTGCCAACGCGAGACCTGTGGCTGAAGAAGCTCAAGACACACAACATCGAATGTCTCAAGGCGAACTTCCTCATTGACTACATTTCGAAGAAGCAAACGCTGCCCACCAAGCGCGCAGACTACCGGCTCTAGGGTCTTGTCCCTACGTTGCAGCACCGAATCGAAGACTCAGTCGTCCATTTCGATGAGATCGGCCTCGTTCTTGTACATCTGTTGACAGCAAACACACATGCAACGAGTACATGTCAGGGTGTGTCTTCGTGGCGTCAAAAGGGGTCCAGCCAAACATGGAGACCCAACGACTCCTCACACTGCCAAACCGTTCGTAGCCACCGTGGAGAATGAGCACTCGGGGTTTGTGCGCAGCGCCTTCGAGCACAGCCTCCATCCGCGCCTTAAACCTCTTGGCACAGGAAGGTCCACGCACTTGGCTCATCATGCAGTGGAAGACAACGGCGTCCTCGTCCTTGTACTTTTCCACAAGGGCGTCCACGTCGTCGTCGTCCATGAAATTGTCCTCGGGAATGTTTACTGCCGAGCGGATGTGGCCTCCAACGTAGTCCGTATCGCGCACATCAATGATAATGGGACGTTTGGGCGACGTGTTAGGGCTACGCAGGATCTCAACGAGCGCCGACGGCTGAATGTAACTCGGCGGTTCCATGTACCCCACAGGCAGCGACATAACGAGGACTGAGTCAGCCGGAATAAACAACAATGTCGCTATAATGTTGCAGCAAATGGTTCCCAGGCGCAGCAACCGACCAGCGCAAAGAGCACGGAGAATAAGGTACGCCACACTATTGTATCGACTTCTGTCTACGACGGTGCGCTCAGTCAATTCACTTGTCATCAGGAGTTGGCTCAATGACGTGAGCTCGAAATGCTTCGAGCGCCTTGTAGCGGTGCGAGATCTGGTTCTTCGTGTGCTTGTCCATTTCAGCGTACGTCTTGTCGAATCCGTCAGGCTGGAACACTGGGTCCCATCCAAACGTGGTCGGACCGCGAGCAGGCACAATTGTGCCATGGGTCTGACCAATAAACACTTGCGGCTCGGCGCCTGCCGACGCGTAGGCAAAGATGCACTGGGCGTACGCAGACTTGTCCTCGTACGCAATGAGCATGTTGTTCAGCCCGTCGTGACCTGTCTTCTCGAGGAACCACTTGATGTAAGGCCCGGGCAGGCCCCCGAGCGCATTGAAACAAAGCGACGTGTCCTCTACCAACACCGCGCCCTGCACCTGTTTGGTCGCGAGGCGGCACTTCTCCCTGGCAATGTCAGCTGGTTCGCCTTGCAGCTCGGGCAGATCCACGGCCTGATTGCGCAGCTCGAACGGAAAGTCAGTGCCCAGGATGGCTACAACCTCCTTGAGCTTGTTGCTGTTGCCAGTCACGAACGTCAGCACAGGTTTGCAACTCGCCATGGCGCTCGATGTCCACAGGCTGTGAACGACTGAAGGTCGTGCGACGGAGCGTTGTTGTGGGGCGAATGTTGCGTAACGTGTGCACCACACAACCGAGCAACAAACGCCCGTTCATCCACACACGCACTCACGGATCTTCCAGCGACGCTTTCAATAGTTCCTGATGTATTGGCAACAAAAGGTGCGCCATCGAGTCGCACGTGGTCAAGATCCGACTTTTGGACTGACAGCAAAACTGCGGTCGTGATGACAGTGACCGCTTCTGAACGGCCGCGGAAGAAATGACACGTCGTTTGACGCCTACAACTATACGATATGTAAACGATGTACTGGCCGATACCTGAGAAGCTCATGGCTAAGTCAAGTGACTCCGAATCTCAAGCACCCCAGAGCGAGACAGCTGTGCTCTAGTGCAGGGACGTGTCCGCGTTCTGGGCCCAAAGCAATACAAAGCAGACGCTCGGCTGTGTGCTGTGTTACGGCAATGGCGCTTACCGTGCGTGATGAGTCAAGTCGTAGCGACTTTCCAGGACAATCCATAGCTTTGACATCGACGAGATGGAGAAAAGCAAGTCCTCATGGGTCGAGCTACAGCGGCTACTTTGGGTCCATGACACAAAGGGCGACTCAGCACACAATTGTGCCTTCGTTGCCTGTGACTGCGGACCGTCGTGTGCATGTCGCACTGCTGCTCGACGTGACGGGGACATTTCCGGTCATTTCACGGCTTCAGCAATTGTTCATCATCATTGTCCTCATCCACCGACAAGGCCAACTAGAAAGAGCAGGAGAGCACAAGGTTGTTCTCAATATCGATCACGGGTCCAGGAGGTTGCAGACCGAACTGCTAAACATACGGCACGTCAAAAAGTGGTGGCGCATTCGCGCTTCCCGGCCAACGACGCTGTCTTAGGCGCTGAGCTCGGAGCGTCACATGGCGGATGAGACACCAGGATCGCGGATGTGGTCGTGTATGGGGTGGGCATTTGCAGCGCCTATGCAAGTCGATAAGCAAAAGCTCCGCCGCAGAATGACCTGATACCGTCATCGTCACTTCACGTCTTCCCACACCTCTTCAGATCGTCAAAAGTTTGCCGCTTCATCAGCCATTGTTGACTTCAAACAGTGGTCGGCGCTACAAACTCCATTTGTCGACTCGCTTGCCTAGCTCGGTGCCCAATCCAACCACACAGCCTGACATCCAGCCGATTCATCCCGAGCTTCCTCGCTCAGCACCAGCCCTAGGTGAGTTTACACAACGAGGTACATGCACCAGGCACTTCATATGCAGCAACAGCGGTGAGGTAGCATCGCTCGGCTGTGACGTTAGGTTGTTAGCCAAGTGGGAGCAACAGCGTCGTTTCGCCATTCTACACTGTGAAGATTGCAAAAGAAGAACACCAATGGCCCACTCTGCTCCGGTGCCTTAGCAACGGGCCATTTGCCATCAGGAGGCCACGATTGTGTCCTTCAGTCTGTATCGGCTACTCGAAGTGACGAGGTTGGTAAGCAAGAGATTCGCGCCACTCGGCATCCTCGTCGTCATCATCGACAATACCGAGAGCCTTCTTGCGTTCGCGCTTTCCATTCGATCCCTGCGCCGAATATTTCCCCAAGCTTGCATCGATCAATGCGTCTGCCTCGTCCCCAAATGAGATTCGCCTTACGATACGGGGTGTCCTGGAATACGTGCAAACAACAGTACAGACGGTCAGCTTCATGATACTACAAGTGCCTGTGGCTCGCGACATGGAAGAAGTCCCTACTTTTCGTGTAGCCGATCCTGCCCTTCAGTCGTTCCAAACGCCTGGTCATATTTACGCTTTTCTAGGACCCCTTGAGTTGTCGCAGTAGCATCAACCACCTGCTTTTCATCATTTACGCGTTCACCTACGCTATGCGATGTTACAGCCACATCGCCCCCGCCATTGGACCGCTCTGAGGCTTGCACAAATGTTCGTGGACGTTTGGCGTGATTGTCGATTTGCTGGCCTGTCGCGGAAGTATCATGCGCATGTTTGTCTTCTGCTTCGAAAGCCTCGCGATGCTTTCGCTTTGCCGCAGCTTGTCGAGCTGCTGCTGAGCCACCAGCTGCAAACGAAGCGCAAAATGCCTGAAAAGCAGTGAGCGGCTCATCCTGCGCTATCTCCTTCCTCTTCATCGCACTTTCCGTCGCTAGTTTTTCACTTTGCCGTCCTACCGTGGACAAAGCGCCAATGTGCCCTGACTTTTTCCTCGTCACATCATCGTTCATAACTTTGCCTTTGTGGAGTTGTCTTGCCAGATAAGGTGAGGTCCCGCGCGCTGTCGGGTCGGGTATACCGAGAACAGAGCGCTCTGCCAACTTTTCTGCTGATGCTGACAAGGCGATTCCATCGGAAGGAGGCAAAAGCACTCGCTCCGGACGTCGAGTTGTGACTTGCTGTCGCCAGCGCGCTCGTGTCAGTGCCTCTAGCTGTGCACCGGCTCCACTAGATCCGGCATACCCGATATGCTCAGCGCCTTCCGACACGAAGCGCACCGGCCTTTGCCTCGATACGACTGCCGATTCCTTCCGTTTCGCCATTCGTCGATCGACGACTTGCATCCGATCAATTGGCTCCTTTCGCACACTCGTCGTCATTTCTGTACCATCTTTTTCTTCCTCAGTCGCTTCGTGAAACGAAAATCCACCCTGTCGAGCTGCACGAGTCGCTCGAAAAAAATGACTCATTGCCATGGGCGAAGGGCTTCTCGACGACCGAGACTCCTCATTCGTCCTCCACAACCTGCTCGTATCTGTACCTTCCGATCCTGCACTGGGTTCAACGGTCCACCTATTCCCATTGAATTGCCGTGGCGATGTCGGCCTCGTCAGCTCCACCAAAGGCCCCAACGTATCCAAACCAGACGACACAACGAAAGAAGGAGACGGAGAAGTCACGACTGGTCGTCGTCTCTTTGTAGCACTCCTCGTCAACAACTGCCTCTTTTCCTGTGGAGATAGACGCGGCGTCTCTGCGAGGGCCCGTTGTAGTGCCGCCGCTTGTTGCTGTAGTTTCCGTCGACGCTGTTGGAAGACGCGAGGAGGTAGAGGTACTGCCGGTGCAGGCAGGACAAAGCGAGGAATCTCGATGCGCACGCGACGGTGGAAGATAAGAGGCACAAGGAGCTCGACCAGCAGCACCAGGAGGCCATAGTACAGGCACGCGCGGAAAAGCCACGAGTCTTCGCTCACTGGCAAGATGAACATACTGCTATTGCTAATCCTATTGAGCTTTTCGCCCGAGAGTCGCACACGGATGAAGCGGACGTACCGGTATTACTGCTGTGTGGACCACAAAAGTCCTCGTCGTCGACCGACTGCAAGAATTTCTTGATGGGAATCATAGCTTTCCACTTAGCGTCTGTCTTTTGTAGCTATCGCTGTGAGACGCTGTTTTGCCAAGACGTGGGCTGAGTGATCTACCGGTACTTGTCCATGAACTCGGCGTGGAACTTGGATGTCTTCGCAATCACCTCGTCCACGGCCTCCTCGGGCGGCAAAATCGTTGAGCGAAAGTGCCACGTACCCTCTTTCTGGCCAAAGCCCGAGCCAGGTACGACCACGATCCCCGTGCTATCCAGCATCTGCATGCAGTAGAACGCGTCAGGCGCCATGCCTGCATCCTTGGCAGCCTCAACGGCCTGGACTGGAAGCGTGATCTTGGGAAACGTGTACATCGCACCCTCGGTCTCGTTACACGTGACGCCCTCCAGCTCGTTGAAGGCCTTGACGATCTTCACGGCACGGCGCTTAAGCGACCCAAGAATGCCATCGCGCTGCTCGGCGTACCGCTCGTACGACGCGTCGCCGGGCTGCGGCGGGTTCGTCATCATTCCCACCATCAACTGGCCCTCAATGTTCGAACACAGGTTCACCGACATGAGCTTGTAGAACTGGTCCTTCACGCCCGCATCAATGTTCACCAACTCCATGTAGCCACCACGGCGACCGCACTCGCCAGTGAACCCCTTGGACGTCGAGTGGAACGAAATGAGCTCCACGTCGTCATAAGCGTTGCCCATGTCACGCAGCACCTTCTTGAACGATAGGAACTTCTTGCCCTCTGCGTACACGTTCTCCTGGTACACCTCGTCCGCCATGATCAAGATGTTCTCCTGTTTGCAAAACTTGATGATCGCCTCAATATTCGCCACCGTCAAGCACTGACCCGTTGGGTTGCCAGGGTTGATCACAGCCATCGCACGCACAGTCTTGCCTGCATCCCGAGCTTCCTTCACAGCCCGCGCCAGTTCCGTCACGTCCAGGCCCCACGTGTTGGCTTCGTCCAGGTAGTACCCGACCAACGTGCCTCCATTGATGGCAATAGCTGCCGAGTACAATGGGTACTGCGGAATGGGCGCCAAAATCGCGTCGTTGCTGTTGCGGATCAGAGCCAGCAGCGAGTTCTGCACTGCTGGACTCGCACCGTCTGTGAGGTAAATGTCTTCTGGGTCAGCAGAGTGGCCGTCGCGACGCTGAAGAAAGCGTGCGACCTCTTCCCGCACAACCGCAGAGCCTTTACTGTGTCCGTACGCACCCGTTCCGCCCGCAATATTGTCAATGTAGAACTTGGCACGAGCGATGGCGTCTGGTTGAAAGAGCTTCTGTGCCTCGGGCTTTTCGACGAGACCCGGGACATTGACGAGCGCGAGCACTTGACGGTGGAACTCGATCGGCTCTTGCTTGAGCACTTGGGGGTTCCCGATGTTGCACGGAATGACCTTATCAAAGGGCAGCGACGTGTCGCCACGAGCCAATTGACTCACGTACTCGTTCGAGCGCAGCACCAGTGCACCGCGCACGGCGTACTCGGCCTTGACAATGTTGGGGTTAATCGTATCGACGGTCAGCACGGCGAAGCTGCGGTTCGTCGATGCGGACGACGACGAGCGCAGCTGCTTGAGGGCCTGACGAGCGAGCATGACGCGAGTGCTGTTGTCCGTGAGGCGTGTGATGCAGGGGGGGACGTGAGGGGCCACTGGCAGCTTGAAGAATAAGGTGAGCGTCGAGGGGGATGTGGAGCGGGCAGACAATCTTTGCTGCACTACGTCAGTGAAGGGCAGCAGTGGCCCAATTTTGGCGTTTTGGGTACATGGATTTGCGGGTGATGTACCGGTACGGAGCGGATAAGATCGAATGTGCAAAAATAGCCGCGCATGTTGTCTGGTAGCTAATGGTTAGTGAAAAAGGTGATAGGGGAAGAGGGACATTATGAGTGTTTCCCGGGGGGTTGCAAAGTACGATTGTTTGTTCGAGGAACCGAGCAGAGCTGGACATTTATGTGGCGGTGTCATGGACGGACACCTGTTTTGCCTCTAGTTGGTGATGGTATTACAGTAAAAAGCACGTAGGGAGATACCGGTACGTTGTCTCACGATCAATCGGTAGTGCTCCACGTGATGACGCAAGCGAAACGTTTGACTTGTAGTACAGTGAGCAATGCTGAGCTCCCGGATCACTTGCGAGTCGGACTGCAAGCAGATTCAGCGAATGAGTTTGACTTCAAACTCCACCGTTGACATCGGTACGAAAGAACTTGCATACACATAGCTTTGCATGGCAAAGGCTTCAGTTTCAACGCTCTTCCGTTCAGTTGTCGTTGTTCAGGTTGAAAGCCCTCTCTTTCCCAACAAAACAACGGCCGGAAGCGAACATTGAGGCAGAACTGATGTAGGATTGAGTACGTGATAGACCAACGCGCTTCGGACACGCAATGACTGACGTACTCGCCGCAAGCCAATGCCATTTGATGATTTTGCTGAGAAATGATCACGATCATCGTCACGAATGCTCAAATGGTTCACCTCGATGTATTCCCCGAGCCTTCGCTGACTTGGATAAGGTGCTGCGCATTGCAATTGACTTAGTCCGACGACTTGGCGCCCTTGATGTGACCCTCGCGGGCCGTGTTGGGCTGGCGCGTCAGACACAGTACACGCTCCCACGTGCGGCCAAAGGGGTCCATGCAACGAGGTGAGTTGCGCGTGACAGCTTCGATCGGGAAGTAGACGACGCGGTTAGCGCTAAGGCCGACTGTGAAACCAGTGTAGCCAGCCATAGCGCCGTGCACGGCGTTCTGGCCCAGTAGCATGCAATACAGACTGTCTGCAGCATTTGCTGGCACCGAACGGATCATGTAGGAGGGATCAATGTACTTGACAGTACACTCTTTGCCCTTCTTCGCAAAGTGCTCTTGGATGCGATCCTTCATAAACGCACCGATAGGGGGCAGCTTCTTATTGCCACCAGCGTCGGCTTCCACTGACGTGCCTAGTAGCTCTTCGCCGGCACCCTCGGCGACAACAACGACGCCGTGGCCTAGCTCCTCCACTACATGCTCGAGGTGGTCGAGGCAGCTGCGTGGACCGTCCAGCTCGATCGGGATCTCTGGGACCAGACACAGGTTCACGTCGCCACTCGAAAGCGACGCGTGCGCAGCGATGAAACCAGAGCTTCGCCCCATGAGCTTGACGACGCCGATACCGTTCGGTACGCAACGAGCCTCCGTGCTGGCCGAGCGAATGGCACGCTGGGCCTCTTCGACGGCCGTGTTGAAGCCAAAGCTGCGATCAAGTAGATCCACATCGTTATCAATAGTTTTGGGCACTCCAGCGACAGCGATTGGCAGCTTGCGACGACGGCACTCCTCGGAGATCTTGTTGGCAGCACGGTGGGTACCATCGCCGCCAATCACGTACAGTTGCGACACGCCGTGCGTGGTCAGGAAGTTGATAATCTTGTCTTGGTCAAAGCCGCCACGGTTGGAGCCGAGGATCGTTCCACCGTGGTGATGAATGTTGGCCACTAACTTGAGCGTCAGCATGATAGGGGCTTCCTTCTGCTCGAGCGAGTCCCAATTGTAGAATCCAGCAAACCCCATGCGAATGCCGTAGATCTCGCGCACGCCGTACAAATTCCACAGCGCAAGCGTGACGTCCCGCACGACATTGTTGAGACCAGGGCAGAGGCCACCACAGGTCACAATGGCTGCTTTGACCGTGGCAGGATCAAAGTACGTGCAGGCACGAGGACCGGCTCGCACATAGGCGCGTGACACCGGTACTTGCGTATTGTTGCGGCGAATGTCGCCCAGGATCACGTCCGAGTCGCCCATGATCTTGTTGTACGTGCTCTTACGTCCTGCAGTGTTCTCCACGAGCGTGTCGAGCTTGCGACGGTTGCAAACTTCCTTGTCTTGCTCTGGTAGCCATTGGCGAAGATGGGGCACGGGCAGGAGATACGTTTGCGCAATGCTGACGCCGTGGACCAGGACCATCTCACCGAACCCCTTGGGATGTTTGCTGGCAAAAGGCGCCGTCTTGTGCACATCCTGAAAGGCAGCGGCCGACGAGTCGACGGACTCGCGGCGGGGGGTGGAGCGCTGGGCAGAGCTCATTTTGGGACGAGCGTTTTTGCGTTGTGACGTGTTTACGCGAAGGGGTCAGCAGCGATTGGAACGGACCCACCGGATAGAGAGAGATACAAAAGCGCACACTGGCACTGCCGTTGACATTGTTTGCTGTGGGAAACCGGCACGAGAGGTTTTAGTGGCAGTCTTTCTTTGCCTATAGAGCCGAAGTATGGGAGTCCACCAATTGCGACAAGAAGAGCGACTTGGGGTTTTACAGTTGGCTCCGGAATGCAACGAACCGGCCAAGAAATTGCACGGTATTTTCGCTTGTCCAGACATCAGTCGATCAACGCAGGCGCGCGTTGACGTTGGCTGGACGCGGAAGCAAGCACTCGATGATGTGGATGGAATGGATACATCGCTGTATTTGATTCGACCGAGGACAAGCTGCTCGCCGTCTGTACAGCGCGCGGAACACGCTGAGAAGGAACTGTAGGAGGTCTATTTCATGGTTGAAACGACTTTTCACGACATGACACAATGGTGATGTGTTTACCGGTCTGTCCTGGACGGAATAGACGGTGTACTATGGGCCTGAGATGTGGTTGTAGATGTAGAAAGAGGGTGTAAGGGTAGGACGCGCTGGTGCTGACAAGTGTGGCATCTGCGTTTCGACGAGACCTTTCGTTCAACAGTCCATACTTTATTCCGGAGAAGCAGCTGCTGGCGTGCATCAAAAACAAGAGGCTAGACACGCAAGAAAGAGCAGTGAGAATGGTCGAGATCAATAAGGGCAATCTTGTGCTACGTCGGACAACCTGCAATCGGACGGATGTGATATGGGTAAATCGATGCAGTTGCAGTGCTCGCTCGGCCAAGATTGGCGCCTCGCGGCCACAAAAGGTAATCGCTCGGCACGTGCTGACGAAAGGACTGAGGTATGGAAAGACAAAACTAGCTGACGAGGTTTGTGAACTCGCGCAATGTACTTGCACAGCAACGCCGTGTTCTCGTCGCCCAAGACTCTACAAGTGATTTGGGACGAGGTATAAGTGTGCGCAGAGAAGTGTACGTCTCGCAGAGGTGTGCTAGAGAAGATCACGAAACGTACATTGTTTCGTAACGAAGGATGCAAACAGAGATAGATGCGCAAGGTTAAGATGGTTCCGAGCAAGACCGCTGCCGGCACGGCGTCAGGTGCCAAAGCCGGTGATATCGTGCTGCATGCACAATAGGAAAGGAGACATACGTGCCATCTGACTGGACGCGCGTTTGATCAAACCTGTTACGACTGTCAGTAAGCCCACGGCGATGCTGTTCCCGATTCCGTGCATCAAGCATCTGTTTGTGCAATGATGTAATCAATAGATTTTGCCCATTTTCGGCCACCCGAAAAATGGAAATCTGCTTGTCTGTAGACATGAAGACAACCTCGACCCATTCATTGTTGTGCCACTGTTTGTGTCAAAGTCACAAGAAAATACAGATAAACGGCTTTTAGCTAGGGCACGTTCTTAATCGTGCCCTCATGCTAGTACTCTCCTTTGCACGTGTTCTTGGTCACCTGCAGTCGGGATATTGCGGCATTTTCACTAGCTTGCGATCATGCATGCCGAACTTAGTCGAGACGGACTTGACGACATGGTCTGCCGTATAGTTACTTGAGCTCCCACGTGATTGCTATAAATCTACATACCAAGATTATACCTGAGCTCGTCGAGACCCTTCATCTCGAACTGATTACTGATTGCACGCCCGGTCACATTATATAGTTGGCGTTCTTGCTTCCGATGATGAGATCGTCGATACACCGCACCACATGACAGTTTCACTGCTGTCCTTCATAATAGATTCAGTGATCTTGCCAAACCTGGCAAAACCCATCTTGATCATCAAATTGTCAATCGTTGGCTTCACATGTGAGGGGACTGCTTCAATCGATACAGCAACCGTTTGATCTTGCATGAGAAATTCGGCTACTTTGGGTTGATTGTATCCACTTGACTGTGTCATGCAAACGTTTTCGTCGAAAATGCCTTTCAGAAGCGCATTATTCCTGTCCATCTGGTGCAAAATGAGGGTGTACTCGGCATGCAGACTCAATACAATCCGAATCGACATAATTTTGAAACCTGGAACAATTTTTTAATTGTATTCGATGCCGAACTAAGAAAGCACATTGGTAACTAGTAGTGCTTTGTACCCGCTCAGCCTCACCGAAGTGATTCTCTTTGGCACGAAGCACCATCTGCACCCATTGTCAGTGTGCTCCTTCGTTTGCGTCAATATGTCAACATATTCGTTATTCAGCAGCGAGTCGAACTTCGGGTCACGGGCTTCCTGCCCCTTGTTTCAGGCATCGAACCAAAGCCAATTCTAACATGGACGGCATTCCTTCCACAAAAGCCATGACGTAAGTCGATGCAAATCTTAGCATGCTTGAGCTGTTGCTCTCAACTCGATAGGACCGTGAAGTCCTCGATACGACATGGATCACCTAGCACTTGAAACTTCCGCAACTTCTGTCAATGCGGGTGTCCATCAATTTCTTCACAGCCGGAATCAATGGCTTCACCCTGCGCAATTGTTTCTTGTTCCTGCTGTAACTCTATACCCAAAGCATGTGCATATTAGATGGCTACCTCTTGTTAACAATCGTCAACATTTCCTGGTGAAAACTCTTACGTGTCTCCCTAGTCTTGACCGACGAAATGGCAATGCTAGCTCTGCGATAAACTGTAACAATGACATCCGGACGTATACGGCCGAAGTGATCAAGTCTAAGGTGCATAGGAACGTATTCATGTCTTTATAGCTTCGATCTTGTTGCACTGGCCTCAACCGTCATGATTGGTTGCATGCAGAGCTTGAACAATCATTTGCCTTGCGACTCTCTATCTTTCACTTGATACCCTTCATAGCTGTAAAATAAGCACCACGCTCGAAGGTGACAGATCCGACGTCCTTGGCAAAGCGGTCGATATAGTACAAGCTTAGCGAGATCGTTGGCGCATGCCACATACCAGTGATTACGTCGCGCGAGCCTTCATCGACATCTCTATGATGACCATTCCCATTGCTTGTACACCTCCATCGTTCGCGAGTTGCACATGCACCGACTAGATGAACTTATGGCTCGTCGTGTACTCTATCGGGTACGTCATGTCTTGCGCCTACCTAAGTCGGCCAAGAACACTTAACTCGGTATGATGGTACACGCACCGCTAGCTACTGAGAAAAAGCACCACACTTGTCTTTATCTTGCTCGATATTCGTTTTCTGCGGCCTCTGCCTCTCCTCATTCCTGCTGAGTCACACCTGGCTTTGGCGATCTGATGCCCTTGCTCCCATATTCGTGACATGCGTCGCTTGTCTTTACTGAACTAGTAATTTTCCCGCTTTCCTTGCTTACTAGACATATAAGCGTCACCTTGGCTATGTGCGGCTCCATCGGCACCTCCATCATGTTGTTTATGCTTTACCCTCTCATGTAGTACTCGAGATGTCAGAAGCTTCCACGATAGCGAGGCGGTGCTTGACTTAGACGCCGTGATTGGAAATTCATACGAATTCCTGACACTATTGAAGAGCGAAATCACCACTTCGTCCTCGTCAACCGCAGCACCTACGGCTTCCAGCTGCTCCGCCAGTGACTTCATCTTGTTAATGTATTGCAGCGCGTCATCACGTTTGTCTGTCTTGCCGTGAAGAAGCGTCGAAAAAGAATGGGCTTATTTGCTAAGTGTTCCGTTAGCCGCGACTCTGCATCTTGTGCTTTACATGCCGAGCAAAGCAATGGCAGCTGCGAAACATGTATCTTGATAAGGATGATTGTCAGCACCTTGTAAGACATGCGCTTCTACGTCGCATGGTCCAGCGCGTTCACTTACTGCTACATCTTGATCTCCCCGATTGCCACTTTCAACAGGTCCCTCCCCTCCAGCACCTACTACATCTAATTTTTCGATGTATAAAAGTTTGCTCTACCAAGCTTGTTAGTACGAGAGGTGGAGGCACATGAGGCGTCCATGGCGAGAGCTTGATAGGCGTTGGGTAAGAGAAAGCGATGCCTGGGTTCACAACATGTTAAAAATCGAGCGAGCGCAGTTCAGCCAAACGCAAATGGACTATATCTAGGTCCTTCGTTCGCAATCTCTTGCCAGTTTGTGACTACTGGAACCTCTCGACTGCACAATCGTAATCGCTGCATCTTGCATTACTCATCGTCTAGTGGCATAGTACCAAGCCACACACATCTTGCATCCCGAATCGTCTAGTCGCCCACTCCCTATCGTTTGAGTGTACGTCAGTTGGTCACCGCTTGCATGCCAAGGCGCTCCTTCGACAACACATACCAAGTTGACGCTAGAGTATTGTTCTACACGAAGGGAGTAATGTAGTAACCCATATGCAACAAATTGATGTCGACTTGGCTTACTGATTCGATACCTGACCGATGGCCACACACGGGCTACTTCACCAGAAACGAACGGTAAGCGAATAGTGATTGCCGAGCAACGCGGTCCCGTTATGAACCTTTTTGCGACAAAACCAACAGCGATTTCAGCAAAGCTGAAAAAGGATTCAACGAATTATTTGTGCAGAACGGCAGTGGAAGCACAACTTTCTTTGTCATTGTTCGGAGTATCGTGTGCACATAAACACCACACAATATTTGGCCACATTGACAAGCATGACACAAGCAGCGACGTATGTCGAGCTGTGCACGCGTCTGTCGCGTTTCGTGCAGCTCCAGCCAAGCACTGAGCTTACAAAAGAGCTTCATCAGGTTATGGAAGACTTACTGAAGCTGTACGAGCGCTTGGAGCTCTCTTTGCGCCCTGAGAAAGCAGCAATCGATACACCGCTCGTGGGTCTAGCAGCCATGGACGACTTAGTGTTATACTCACTGCATAGACTACTGGGCTCTTTCGTGCGAAGCTCACGCTCTCTAGTGCTTCAAGAGCTCTCCTTTGGGGTGTTTATTCGCGTGTTGCGGCGGTGCAAGCCTAGAATGGTAAGGGGTAGTTCTGGACAAGTGCAGCGGCATCTGGGCTTCGTGCAGAGCTGCGTGTTGTATCTGCCACCGCCGCCAGAAGCTACTGCTGATACGGATGAAAAATCACCTGATGCAGTGACTCTTGCCGCTCAGCCGGAGGAGCTGAGGCTTGCTATTCTACAGAGTCTATGGGAGCTACTAAAGGAACCAGAGCCAGAAAAGCAGGCGATGCAGCTTCGAGTGGATGAGCAGCACTTTCTTGCCTACTTGGTGGCATCCTTGCTGCACGTTGCGCAACGCGATCGATGCCGAGAGGCCGCATTGAGATCAATTGAAGTGCTCAAGTGCGTCTTCCTGTTCGTTCGCGACTCGCACACATTGCGGCAATACTTGCCTGGTGTCGCTGCTGGATTGTGGAAAAGTGCGAATGCACCGCAGCAAGCGTCAAATGTGATTGTTGCAGCGTTACAGTGTTTTTCCCTGGCACTAGGGCTGTGCATTAGTGACCGTTTGTTGCCAGAAGAAGAAAGGCCGAAGCAGCAGCAAAGATTCACACTTGAAGGGATTCGGCAATCGATTAGCACGAATGCCATGGAGAGGGAAGATACGGCTGCATCAGTTGAAGAACGGTCACCTGACGACGATAAATGGATGGAGACAACTGCGATCAACATGGATGTGCTCCTTTCGCGGATGTTCGCTGCCTCCGCTAGTGCCACGGCTTTTACTACTCATGGCACCAAGACAGGACTACCGCGCTCCTCCTGGCGGGTGCGCTGTGCACTTGCACAGCTTTGCGGTACTGTGATGCTCCAGTGTCGACGGGGGCTTCGCATGTCCTTCTTTCGGTGTTACGACGAACTTCTGGTCCTCCGCGGCGACGCTATTCCGGAGGTTTCTCGGGAAGCAGAAAAGGTGCTCCAAGCACTACAAACGTCGTCCCTGTCGTCGGAAGAGCGGTTACAAGTGCTGCCAGAGATGGCAGATCGTTTCCAAATGCTGCTGTCGACTCTTGTGTTGAAGGTTGCCACAGAGCATGAAGCAACTAAGGTGCACTTTGTGCGCACACTTCGTGGATATGTAGAATTTCTTGGATCCAGTCTTACTCCATACCTTGACGCGTCTGTGGAAAGCATTTATACCTCGCTTTGTCGCGTGCTGTCGTTTGCCGCGCTTGACATCGAGTTGGTGTCTCATCACTCGCTCCCAAGTTCAACAAAGGTCAATGAGAGCTACAATAGCAGTGCAGCGAGAGTCGTTGTCGCTCAGTTTCAGAAACGATTACGCTTCTTCCGCGAGGAGGCCTCAGTCTGCGAGGCATTGGCGATGGTGAGCGAGATTGGTGCTGTCTTAACACCAGCCGGCTTCATTGATTGCGCCTTCACGCTACTATCCGATGCGAACGTGATGTCTACAGAAGCTGGTGGTGAAGTTGTGCTGGTTCTAAACGAGTTTCTGCGGGCGTACTGCCCCGACAAGAATAGCAAAGTCCATTTGAACCACCACGTGATCGATGTTCATCTTATCGGGCGCATTCTGGAGGACTTACTGATGCTAAAGGCATGGGAAGAGCATTCTCCGCTACCGCCAAATAGTGCTTCGTGTAAAGCGCTTGTGTCCCAACGTGCGTTTATGGTAGAGTGCGTTGGTGTATGTGCGGAGATCCTTGGCACCGAGTTCAAAGTGTTTTTGCTCCATGTTCTTTACCCATTGGTCGAGCAGCTGGGTTCGCACAGCGTCGAAGTGGAGCGTGCGGCGTTGGTGGCTTTGGAGAAGGTGTATTTTTTCACTGGCTACGAGTCTCTTGAGGCTCTTTTCCAAGCCAACATGGACTACTTTGTGGACGCGCTGTGTGCCCGGCTTGAACAATTGGATGCGTATCCCATGACCGCATTCGTCGTTGATGCTTTGATAAAACACACTCGGTTGGCATCATTGCCGTTGGTCGACGAGGTGACCACGTCGTTGCTTCGTAGTGTTGATCTGTATCAAGATTCGTCTCACGTCGGCGGTTTGCTGTGTGCACTGAAGAATCTACTTGGTAGCATTGCGCGGGACGCCCAAGAGATGGAAGGCGGCCGAGTACAAACACTTGGGGATGGCGAACTGGGGAAGCCAGCGACGGCTCGCTCGCTCCTGAGCGACTTTGTTCATGAAATGAAGGTGTTGGAAAATGATGGCATGGAGATTAAGAGTGAAGGCGGCAACGAAGAAAAGCAGCCTGATCTCGAAGAAACTGACCGTGAGAGTGTGAAAGCTGCTATGCCTTTGGAGCACGACGATATTCGATCTGACAACCAGGATGGCGATCTGGATGATGATGATGATGAAGAAAAGCCAGCAGGATCAGGCTACCGCACTCTTGTCATTGATATCATCGATCGGTGTGGTTATTTTCTCGTGGAATCGGACCCAATCGCTTGCTGTTTGGTTCTGTCGTTGATCCATGAAGGTGTGCGCTTTCTTTCGAGGTACCGGAAACAGTTATTGCCACTTGTTGCACGCATGTGGCCAGAGTTGCTGCCTCGATTACGAGTGCAGAACCGCACTATCGTCACTGGCACAGTGCGTGTCATCACCACCGTGGCAGCAGTAGCAGGCGACTTCGTGGGAGACCGCTTCGTTGAGAGTGTGTGGCCAATTCTGCGATCGCAACTTCAGTCCATTTGTTTCGACTCGGATGCCAAGTCGCCACAACTCACGCGATCAATGCTTCTGCTCCTGCAACCTCCCATGGATGCCTCACGTGGCGTGGACGCTCAATTGTCTGGACCACGGACTGACACTGAGACGCCACAAGATGACGAACTCAGTTCTGTGCACGGAGTGCGGAAAACGCACGAGGTCCACCAACTGCTGGCGATTCTATCGTGTCTGACCATGGCATGCCAGCAATCAGAAACAATGACTCAGCTTGTGCCCGAAATTACCCGCTCGTGCTGCAAGTATCTTAGTTCTTCAGCACCCCGCGAGGTGGTGGAGCAAACTTCAGAGCTCTTCGCAGCGCTCGCGCAGTTAAACGGTGACGAAGTGTTCTGTTCAGTAGCAGCGCTTGCACACTGGCTTCCACCGCCGCCGCCAAGTGCGAGTTTCCCTACGTACGAAGCAGATGTAGTTGAGCACTTCTATGCGAAGCGTTTATCAGGGCTAAGCGGACAGACCAAGACTTGTCGAGGCAACGCTCGCGTCTTGATGGATCGCTTGTTCAGATGATTGTCAGCGACGTGTAGAGCAAAAAGCCCGTACCGTCATTTATTGAGCGAGATGTGGTACCTAGATAGGCCACACGCTGTTTGCTGCTCCATTTCTCCTATCTAGACACTCGCCTTCACTCGCGCTAGTCTAGCCAAACATACCGCCCATGTTACCGGCATATGCCATCGGTCGAATCGGTGGGTGTTCCTGCACGACATAACAGCAAGACGCGCAGTTGTGAGCACAAGTATGTTCTGCATGTCCGCATGCAACTGGACGTACCACCGCTACAAATTGCGTGAATCGAGGCTTCATGTCAGTTCCAAAGCGAATGAACGCGCCCTTGTTGCCCATCTGATCGCAATAATTTGGCGCACTGAACACTGTGATGCACTTCCCATCGTGCTCTACTAAGTATCCCTCATCCTTGACCTCATGCGAGCGCACCAACAAATCTGCAAGTTCACCGCAAACGACACGATGACGTCAAGTTCCGCACAAAAGATTAGTGGCAGCATTCGATGACTGTACCGAGTTTGTTGTGCTCCAAGAACGCGCTCGTCACATCGGGTCCGAAAGAAAGACCGATGCCGCGCTTGCTAGGACCACGGCCCGGGAATGGCTGTGGATCGCTCCACATCAAGTCGCTCATGAGTCCACTTTCAGGCGGCTCGTGGTTACGGTCGATCTTTTCGATATCGGCTAGAGTCACATTCTGTTCCGAGAACAGTCCGCCGTGCACGACAAGCACCTTGTCTTCGATCACTGCCGCAAGGGGCAGCCAGTTAAACACCTCAGTGAATAGCTGCATTACTGTCTCGTCGTACTTGTGCTTCACCTCGCCTTCAAACCCGTAGATCTTGTTCATATTCTTTGACTCGTGGTTCCCGCGGAGCAAGTGCACGTGCTGTGGGTACACGATTTTCATGGCAAATAGCGTCATCACCACCTCCAGCGAGAACGAGCCGCGGTCAACAAAGTCGCCATTGAATAAATAAGGGTTCGTCTCGCTCGGCAGTCCATTCAGCGAGAAGATATTGCACACGTCGTAAAACTGGCCATGAGTATCGCCGCACACGGTGAAGTGTGCATCCGGGTTGTCACGTGGCAGCGAGATGCGCAACAACGAGGGCAGTGCACACAGCATGTCCTTGATCTTGAGCAAGATCTGGATCACAAACTTGCGATGCAGCAGCTTCCCGCGCTTGAACCGGTCAATCAGGGCCACGATAAAGTCCGGCTTGAGCTGCGCCACGTCCTCTGGGAGCCGCGGGCCATCGTACGACGGGTCCACCACTGCAACAGCCACAGCCACACGCACGCACTCAGCCACATCCGTCAGCACCTCCATCACCTCACACGACAACCCTCTATGCATATATATGTCTCTCCAAATGTACCCATGGAATTCACGTCAATCGTCTCGGAGAGCGGCAAATTGCGTTCCGACTGAATCGCTGCCGCAAACGCCGCCTCTTTAATGATCTTCTCGCACAGTTTGAGCTTTGCCCGAGCGTCCCGGTCCTGTGGCTTCATCCGCACGACGCGACGAAAGTCCCGCACCGCCTTTTTGTGGTGTCCCAGCGCCAGCTCGGCCGATCCACGTCGATAATAAGCTGCACACACAGTCCACCACAAGCGTCTCAATGAGTCCGTGCCCGTCTCTCGCTCCCGCGCCCAATCCATCATCTGCTCGCCTCCACTCGTCAGTCAGTCTCAAGCGCACCTTTCACGTATCCTTCATCCAGCGCAATCGCCGCCGACGCATCGTCGATCGCCAGGCCGTAGCTCTCGCTCTTGACGTGTGCTGCCGCGCGATTGGCGTAAAAGATCGCTGTCGGCACCAGCTCAATGGCGCGCGAGTACAGCTCGATGGCCGTGGCGACCTTGAAATGCGCCAGTGCTTCGTTGCCCTGGGCTTTGAGCGCGTCTGCGCGTGCGCGCGTCTCGTCGGAGACGGCGTGGGGTGCGCTGCCGACCACAGCGACGCTGGCCATCCTTTCTAGAGCGCGAGCTGAGTGTATTTGTGTATTTGTATTGACGTGGGGCAAAAGGAATCGACTGACGTCGTGCGGGTGTGAGCGGCTGTTCATTGGCTGAAATGTGGACCTCCGCGTTATCCGGCGGGAATGCCCGATTTGGGGGTTTCGACCTAAATCAGAGTGGACGGACGACTTGCAATTAATTGTAGCGGATTCGTTGGCTTGATCTCAGGAATTAAATTGTGATTGTGATTGTGATTGTGATTGTGGTGTGTCTGTGTGTGTTTTTACGAGAGACAGGAAATGCAAAGGCTGCTGCAGGTGACGGTGCATGATGAAGCGTCAGCTGCCAGGCGCTCGATTGACGTGCACGACATACTGGATGAGCTGCCGATGCTGGCGGCACTCAAGGACCAGCAGTGGATGGCAAGACTGCCGCGCCAGTTGTTCTTGAAGCGTAACAAGAGTCCACGCAATGCTGAGATTCGCAGCAGCAGCAGCGCTCCGGCACCGACACAGCACTGTTGTCGCCTGGAGGCCAACCGACACCGAGGGTAGCAACTTATTGTTTTGTTTGGTATAACGTGTTTGTAGCTGGAACTGATTTGTCGTGGATGGATTCGACACGTTATTGTTTTCTTTGCACAAGAAAGACGGCTAGGGCTATGTCGGTACTCGTGCCACAGAGAGACGACGATGTGCTGGAGGCACTAGACGCGCGTTTTTTTACCGAGGGCTTTGATCCTGTGGCGTACACGCTCGTACGCTCGTGACACGACCTTTTTCTCAAGCGGTCACTCATGACACTAACGCTGTGTGTGCATTTTGTGTGCATTGTCTTGCCAATTTTTTGTAGGAAAATCTCCCAGAAAGTAAAAAGGAATTGGACGCATTCATGCGCACCGAGATCAGTGCCGTAGATGTGGCAAGAGACGTCGTTATGGCAAAATTGCAAGACAGCGTGCGAGCCAATTCCAGCTCGCTGATACAAGGCATAAAAATAGTGGAGGAAGTAGATCTTGACTTGGTTCGAGCGCATATCCACGTCAACAATGGACGTCGTTTGCTTGCTACAGCAAAGAATGATTTGATCCTCAGGTAGGGCTTCGCTTCCATGTTGCTGCGTGACGACTGGTTCCTTGTTGTACATCCTAATGCTACATTTGGTGCAAAGCTCTTTGGAAATTTTAAAAACGAAAAGGAATCGCGATCGTGTCAGTGAGGTATGACGTTCAATTTGTTGCTCGATCTGTCCATTGCTACTTCTCACGTTCGGTGATCGGATCTTGGAGCAGATTGTTTCCATCGGCTCGCAGATTGTGCAATTGTTTGAGGAAGAAAAGAAGATGAATGTGGCACTACAAGAGTACCGGTTCATCACTGCTGTGAGTACCGTGCTGTCGGAACTCTGCGCCTCTCTATTGTCTACTGCTGATTCTGTTGCGGCGGAATGCTTGCAAATGACAGGTCGACATTTGCCTGCGCCTTCGACAAAGTTTGTCGCTCGGCCAGTTGCAGGGTCTTACAACTTTGGACGACTTTCGGTTCCGTATGCAAGACTTTCTCCCAAGATTGCGTAATCTTTTTGACCAGGTAAGCTCTTCTTCGTACTGGTCGTATGTCGTCCGTCGTTTTGTCCCGTGCTGTGCTGATCGTGCTTGTCGTAGTCTCTACGAAAAGTTGCTGGACGCTTTGACCCCCTCGAGTACAAGGAGTTGCTTCAAGCCTATATTGCGTTGGCAGATCACTCTGATCACCGGGGCTTTGAGTTCTCGTCGTATGCGCTGACGGAGGTGCTGTCCAATATTCCTGAGATCATCGTTCGTTCCATTAACGAAGTGACAAGTAAAATTGCGCGTCGAGTTCTCGTGTGGCCACATCGACTAAAAAACGAAATGGAGGCGAAGGAGGTTGGCGAAAGCAACACGATTGAGTTCGAAGACCGAGCGGATACATCTCAAGTATCAGCATCGCAGACAATCGAGAACGTTAAGCGATGCTATGAGCAGCTCACTGACCTGATGCATGGATACTATTTGTTGGTCCAATGGCATCGGGATCCATTCAATCCGCTCAATGACGACATTGCCTACCTCCATCGCTGCGGAATTGACGACGATGACGACGACGACGAAGATGACGATGATGATGAAAGTGACAGTGGCGAAAACGATGACGATGACCACAGTGAGGAAGAGCATCACCGTTCTTCTGCACATTGCTACGGAGCTGGTAGAATGAAGAAGCCGGAGTCTCCTTCGCATCACTCGAAGAAGAATGGACCGCACCACTCAAGCTCACAAAGAACAGTGTACGGTCAAGTCCTTTGCGACACCGGCATGACTTTGCTTAGCTATCGCAAGATCGTGTGGGAAAATATGCAACAGAGAGTGTTGGAGATTATGCAAAAGCTGGACATATCGTATGGTAAGTTTGTCGAGAGTTGCTGATTACCACAGCAATTGCTAACACTATCCGAGTGTACGTGTTTGTGTGCCGTTATATGCTAGGCTATAAAATGGAGCACATTATTGCTCTTTCACTGGCGACGACAGCGTTTACTGAGATCGGGGAGGAATTCACTGGAGCTTCTTTGTCAAAGTGGGTCTCAATTACCGCTGTATGCGGTTGTCGAATGCTCGCGCTAATCACACGTTTGCTGACGTTATGATGCAGAATCCGGTCCGCTCTTTGCGTCAAATGTAAGCAATATTTGCGTACATTCCACGACGAGAACATGGAATCAACCCGAATGCTTCTGGAAACGGAAAAGTGGATCCGCGTCATGACACCATTAGTGGACGGGGATGACCATTTTGGCCTTATCAGACTGATCGAGAAACGCAGCGGATACTCTTTCGAACGAAAGGCTCGCGGAGATTTCACAGCTGACCCCATTTATTCGAGACGTGTGTTCCCCTCGTTTCCAATGCAAGGCAATCCATTCAGCGCTGTCAATTCGACAGAGTGGCTTTCTATGAAGCAAGGTGTCCGTTTCCATCACGAAACGGATGACAGCTCGAACACGGGTGATACGACTTTGTCGCAAACTTGTGACAATCAAGCGCTCGCCTTGGCCACTTCTACCGAGTCAGAGTTTGTGTTAACTTCTTCGGGTCTCGCCGGCTTCGTCCGGTAGGTACCTTGACATGATCGATTGTCGGCTGCCGTGAAAGATGACTGATTCTCATATGTGTTCACTAGGCTATGCGGTGCTTACTTAAAAATGATGGCGTGCCTTCCGCATATTAGCTGGGACGTGCTACGCTCGCTGAACAGTATTTTCGAGCTCAATTTGTACGTCGTGTTCACCAACTTTGTCGCCACAGACGATATCGCACACCTTTTTCACGATTTACGTGGGAATCTGGTGGAAAACAACACAACGCAGTGGAACGGACTGCGCACTGGCATTTGTCGCATAGCAGACGAAATGGACGCAGGTGAGATACTTCTCCGATTGTCAATATTGAAAACGGGTACTGGAAGCATGGATGGGCAGCACAACTCTTCGATCTCGCGAGACGTTACTCTACGTACAGTAGTCCAAACATCGTCTGCATTTGTGGATAAAAACGAGAGCAATTTGTACGCATTGACTGAAAGGTCCGTTGCTTGCGAAGCTGTTGTCGGCCAGTCCAGACTACTGAACGCTATCGAGGAGTTGGCTCGATCATATCTTCCGGATCGATACCATGTCCGTATGAACGAAATGCTCCAGCAGAACTGCACGATGGCGCGGGAGCTTCGCAGCTTCATGTACAGTACAACTGCAGCTAGACTAGCAAACGTCCCCGACCTGTCCGATGCAGTTTCTGCAGTGTCTTGGAACGTAACGTACATCTGTGATCAGCACAACGAGTATATCGAGCAACTGATTCAGAAATGTGGAGAGATGTGGGAACGACTGCAGCTCTTGGCAAACGGGGCCGTCCCGTTCGACGCGTGTGACGATATTTGGGCGGCTCTCGTACAAACCATCATGGACACGCTGCTGCAGGCATTGTCTGCTGTTCACAAGCCGACCCTTCAAGGTCGTGCACTCATGTTGCTGGACTTGCATGCACTTCAGAATGGTCTGGACATGATCAATCATGTCAGCTCTCGAACGGTGCCTCGTGGTCACGAGTACGTCGGTAATTACATCAAGGCTTTCTACTACGACGAGAATGAGCTCTTGGAATGGATTCAAGATAACAAGGTGAGTTGCATTTCTTACTTCTACGTACCCATGAAACTTACACGTTGGCATGAATCCCAGGCGCTATACTCGAAGATACAATTTGCCAATCTACTTCAGAACGGCGTCGGATTGACAATGGAGATGAAAGAATTCCGCGAGCTCGTCCTGAAGCTCGACACAATCGTCGCTTGATCGCACAATCGATATCGTTCTCATGGATATTTATACAGTCCCAATGTACCGCGGCAACTTCTATCGTCACCGTACGTGTATGTTGACCTCTTGATGGTCAGGGTAGTTGCGCTGCCCCATTTAATGCCAAATTTTTGGTCGGTCCTCAATATTTCCGTCGGCGTATCTGATCCTCGATATTTTCGTCGCCATGCGTGCCCAGAAAATGCCACACTTTTGCAATCGGACTTGGCTTTCTCTGTGTTTCTCCAAGCAGCTCTGCCTAGGGTGTGGTTGCTTCACTTACCGCACCATAGCGACCCGTAGCTCTTGCTGCACCAGCGGTTGCGGAACCACCTCGACAACAAGGAGAAGCAACTTCTCAGCTTCTTGTTTGCCATACGTCACGCGCAAAAAATCTGCAAAGGCTTGACCGCTCATTCCTTGGTTTCCGAGCGCCTTGGCCGCTTGTTTGAATTTGTCCACGCTTAGTGCGTCCCCATTCGAAAGCGCGTTTACCCGTTCCAGGATCTGACGGTTGGCCTTCTTTCGAGATATCCGTCCAAGGATGGCTGGATCGCTCGCACGACCGTCGGAGTTTTGATGACGGTCGGAATATCCCTGCAGTTTCTGATCTACTGGCAAGGAATCACCACACAAAAAGTGATGAGAAGTGAACGGGTACCCGTGCTACCAACAAGCCAAGCATTGCATTGTACACGTACCGTATTTCTCGGCCCCATGACTGGCTTCATCATCGTCTTGCGAGCACGTGCGGCAATCCCGACGCTGCGACCGGCTCTCCTCTATTCGATCGATGTCTTTAGATGCCATAGACAGACTGGCAGCAGCGCGCAGTGCCTCGCGCTTTTCTGCACTCTTCAATGAACGCACAAAGCGCTGCACAATCCAACCTGCAAATTCGGGCTCGAATGCCTTCAACAAGAACTCGACAAAAGCGGCTGCAGCCGCGGCCGGATCATTTTCTTTGCGAAAGGTGCGTGCGTGTTTCTTAAAACGCTTCAGCTCGTGGTCCCCACAGCGCAAAGCCACCTCTTCCTCAATCTTCAGTCTGCTTTTCTTTCGCACCGAGTTCGCCTTGTCACCTGTACCCATCACACTCGCACACGACGCTCGATTGTCCGAGCCTGCTGAATCACGCAGCAGATCGAACGACGACGAGAAAACGCCTGACACGTTCATATTCGGCGACATCGGAACGAGCAATCCACTACAATCCATGTGCTCTTCAGCACGAACAAAGTCGGCCAGCACCTTGCAGCCTCCTCTCCTCTTGGAGAACTCGGCCACATTCGGAAACAGCATCACACGCTGCATGTAGAAATCCAGCTCAGCACGCCGTTTCTCGAGAAAACTCGGTGTATGGTCCTGATGGAAAAACGCGCGTACGCGGTGGCCTGGTGCAAAGACGACCGTGACCATCATCTTGGCAAAAAGGGACTCGCGAACTGCTCGCATCTGATTATCAAAAGCTTGGAACTCGTCGTAGGTTTTCCAGATGCTCCATTGCACTGTTGCTGTCCCTCCGTCCTGTTGCTCGTCTTGCTTGTCGCCACCTGTTGGGGTCAGACGACAAAAGAGCTCGTACTGTAGCAGTCGCGATCGAGCAGGTGACAAAAAAAGAGGCACAACACGTGATGGAAAGGAGCAATCAGTCGACGTGGCGTGCTCGTTTTCGCGACTTTTCGGCCCATTCAGAATTTTCACGTCAATTTTCACAAAAGTCACGTACAACAGCGGGTTCGCCATGGGTCTGCGTGGCCGTGCGCACGTGCAACTTGAGCGGCGACACTCGAAACAGGAAGTCGGGCGGCGTCATGGCGCGAGCGGGTGGTGAGTCGCCAGGGCCGCGCAGCGCGAGGGAGACGGCCGACGGTCGACGGGCGGCGGGACGATAGACAGCGCGGGTCGGCCCAGCAGCAGCCCGAAGAGTCAGCGCACAGCACACGTGGAAGTGCGAGCGAGAGGGAATAAGGTGAAATTCAAGAGGGACGTTCTATGCGCGCAGTCCAGAACAAGTCAAACGGGGCGATAACGTGTCTCAGCAAATACCGCGTCGGGTGCGAGTTGCGACGTGGCGTCGCACCGCGAAGGGAAAAAGCACTTTTTCGTGCCACAGAGCACAGGACGGACAAGAAGATCCTGCCGCAGCGCACGTCAGACTGACGGCGATGTTAAACTCACGTTGGACGGGCGATGGTTGACACTAGTGACCCCTTTGTTGATCGTCGAGCAGTGCAGTCAATTGATGCGCAGGTGGCAGTGTAGAGAGGTAGAGAATTGACGTGCAGTGCTTGGCGAGTCCTTTTTCCGCAACGGGAAGGAATGGAGTGCGGGGGGCCACGTTTGCTGCATTGACACTGCAACATGGCTCGTCATGCCATCGTCCCGTCACTGCCGGTAAGCAGCTGGCCAAGCGCTTCCCGGGAGCTAGAGACGGGGCAGCACAAGCATTGAAAACGCATAGTGTGCGGCGGATGACGACTGTGCCCAGTTGACCGCTCGTCGCACTCTTTCAAACGAGCACTTTGACATCAAAGCATACGACGAGACTCTATTTCGTCCAAGTTACATGTACCCCATCCTTTCTTCCCCCCCTCCCCCACGGCCGTCATCCCATTATCGGACATTGACAGAAATCATGCGATGTATACGTCTGATGCGAAATAGCACTCGCTGTCGACTGCAACACCTTCGACAACAACAACAAAGCGACAAACATGCGCTGTCGTCTTTCCCTCTGCACTACCCAACATGATCTTTTTTCGACCGGGTGGTGTTAACAAACACCGAATGAAAGTGGCCGACTGCTTTGATGTAGCCGCCCACACACACAGACAATAGATCGATCGATCGACCGGCCGCCTGTGTGATGTCCCATCGTCTCGACCGATGGCAACGAGCTCTGACGCTCTAAGCAGACGTGAACTTGGTCACGGCCTTCGTGCCTTCCGACACGGCGTGCTTGGCCAGCTCGCCCGGCAGCATCAGGCGCACGGCCGTCTGGATCTCGCGACTCGACAGCGTCGACTTCTTGTTGTAGCGCGACAGTTTGCCCGCCTCCGACGCAATGCGCTCGAAAATGTCATTGATGAACGAGTTCATGATCGACATGCCGCGCTTGCTGATGCCCGTCTCGGGGTGCACTTGGCGCAGCACCTTGTAGATGTACGTCGAGTACGACTCCACGCGCTTCTTGCCACGGCCTTTGCCCTTGCCGGTCTTCGCGACCGTCTTGGCTGCCTTCTTGGACGGGGTCTTGGCCATACTGGAGGATCGGAGTTGCAAGTGCTCGGCGGTCAATTGAGAAATGGTAAGAGCCGACGCCACCGGATCCGAAAGAAGCGTTTCCGTCCATTTCCAGGCACGCATGACGCGTTCTCCTGGGGCTCGAGAGTCGAGGTTTGATTGGCGGAAGGGGCAGACGTGGACATTGTGATTGGCTGCGATGTGAGGAGATGTATTCGATTGGATGATGCAGAAGTGAGGGATAGGGGAAAGAAGCGTGGAATCGATCCTCGACGTATATTTTCTTTCGATCGATGGACAAATGCCATTGCAACGTAAGAAAGCAAGAACGAGGGACAAGGACAAAGACCGACTTTTTTGATACGTGCAATTGCGCGGGTCGCCGGTAGCTAGTCAGGGTCGTGATTGTGCTGGAATGTCACGATATTCGCTGGAAAAATGGATGGTGCAGTACCCGACCAGAGCTTCCAGCAGCAAAGTTTTAGTAATATGCATTGCAGGTAGCAATGACTTTCTGCACCGTCTCGAGCAAACACTCAGTGCTCTGTAGTATCCTTTCCGGAACGATGCATGGTCCAGCAAGTGGTCGTAGGAGATCACTGCGTTGTAGTCAGGCCCGGAAGTGTCGTAAAAAAGGACCTTCGTATGGGCTGGTGTGAGTTAGCGCATGGCGCACTCTGGCAGTGCGCTGGGTACTATTTTGTTCTGATAACCGCAATGCTTGAGCTTTCCAGTGTTGGACATGATGCAACAGGTGCACTTTTAATTGTCGGACACTGTATCAACATTGCAAAATTTAAGGCGTTGTGGTTCTCCCGATATCAAACTACCCAGCTCGAAGATCAATCCGAACGTTCAACAACACACGGTGGCTTTGTCGCACGCACTGATACCAGACAATGGATGTCATGTGGGGTCTGTAACCATGGAAAAGACCACAGCGTAGACTGGGCTGATGTGGAAACGATCTCAGCAAAAGCTGGCTCATCAGCTGACAATCGGCTTCTATCTGATGCAATAATCACGACCGAAATGCAGTCGAGCTCAAGTGTTGACTCTCTTACGCGCAGCAGCTCATGTCTTTCGCGATGAGATACCACAATGTAAAGGAAGCATAGTGTTGTAGCTCACGGCTCAGCCTGATTCGAATCAAACGTGCAAAGAGGACCTGCACAACGTGATCACAGCTGTAACCATCACTAGCGTGGCAAGAGAATACGCGATTGCTGGTTAGTGCGAGGACGCAGGTATCTGTCTCGAAAAGCACCACGTTGCAGATTCAATAACAATGGCTCGCTCGCAACGCGGCTTACTGGCAAACACTGCCAAACCAAGTCACTTCATTCGATAGCAATGCAACGGAAGCAAAACGTCAGAGCGTGCTTCTTGCAAGCTGGAGTGTAGTGGTATATGCTAGAAACCAAATGGTTCTCGACGAAGCAGAAGGTAGCCGATGTGAGCTCCTCGGCCTATAGCTCGAGCAGCTTTACTGCAAAAGGTGACGCAGAACCGTGCGCACGTTAAGCTTCTTCAAGTGCGTGTACTTCTGTCCCGTGCCAACAAACATGATCGGCTGGCCGGTCTTGTAGACCATCGACAATGCAGCACCGACTGTAGACAACACGCCGATAACACAATGTCAGCTATTGTGACGACAAAAGCCAATGACAAAGCTTTTGACACTCACCCTTATCGTCAATAGTGTCAAACTTCGTGATGACAATGCCATCAATGCGATGTGGCTCACGACGGTCCGAGTAGTCTGCAAGGGACTAGAACATTCAATTTACAGTCAGACCACCGCCGCAAGACCGTTTCTTGCTCATGTGTGCGTACCCGGTCAAACATCGACAGCTGATCAATACCGTCATTTCCAACCAACGCCTCTCCAACGAAGAGAACAAGGTCCGGCTCGTTGTTAGACACGAGCTTGGCCAGTGCACGCATGAGCGGCTCATTATTTTGCATCCGGCCGGCAGTGTCGATAAGCACGCAATCGTATCCATTATCGGTGCCGTACTTGATCGCCTCCTTTGCCACTGAGGCCGGGTCTTTGGCGTAGCCCCTTTCGAACAACTTCACGTCCAAAACCTTCGCGTGCTGGTTCAGTTGCTCCACAGCTCCCGAGCGAAAAGTATCACACGCAGCAATCATGACGTTTATGCCCTTCGATTTCAAGTAGTAGCACACCTTCGACAAGCTGGTGGACTTGCCAACGCCATTTACACCCACAAAGACGATGCTGTACGCACGGCCCTCTGCCTTTGCCTGCAAAATCTCGCGCAGCACATCAGTAGATTTTTTCGGCGTCAAGATGCGCAGCAGAGCGGCTTCCAGAGCCTTGCGGACGACCGTTGATATGCGTGTGAAGCTCTCCAATCGCTGGCCGACCACGGTGGTGATGACAGATTCGCACAGCTCGTTGGCGACTTCGGAAGCCACGTTCTTGCTGATTAGCTGCAGAAAAAGACTAAGTCATGATTGCATCGACCAGAAACACACAACACTCCTACCATCTGGTGCATGGGGGTAATCACAGGCTCCAGGTCTTTTCGCTCAAGGATCTTATTGCCAGACACCGAGCTAAGAAAACTGCCGATGCGAGTCTTCGAAAAGCTCCATCCACCCTGGCTGGAGTCAGATTCTGCTTCCGACGAGGGGGCAGATTCGTCGTCTGTATCCACCAACTCGTCCGAATCGCTATCTTCCAGTTCCTGTTTACACGGTCAGTCACAGGCATGTCAGACTCCGTGCGCTCATTCGATGCATAGCATGGAAGTGAACGCACTCCAATGTAGGCTTCTCGCTTTTCACGGAGCTGGGCTACTTCTTCTGCGGCGCTGACCTGGCATGACAAACCACGTCAATAACACCTTCAGCAGCCAATCCACTCGTCGCAACCAATCGTTCGGCAGCCTTACTGTCTTCGAACGATCCAGTGCTTTCGCCTCGGTTTTGGACACCTTCGTATTGTCCCATATCGTCCTCTGTTTGCCGCTCTTCTTTGACTCCTTCGCGGCACTCTCCTTTCCTTTACGGCGCGGACCCGTGCGCATCTTGCGACCCTTCGACGAGTTCAGTGCCGCCTTGCTCTCCAGATCGTTGAGGTCTAGCTCGTCAAAAGCGGGGCTGTCGCTTCCATCGTCATTAGATTGCTAGTTTTCCACCACAAGACACCAAACACAAGCAACCATCAGTCAATGTACCATCGTCACCAAGCTTACAACAACACAGCTCATACTTCTCCATCCTTCACAGAAGACCGCACAGAAGACGCCGTGCGGCCACTTGCATGGTTCGTGACGCCCTTGGCCTTGGCCTTCTTGGACATATCGAAACCACGTGGTCCCTTCCGTACTTGTTTTGACGTCGCCTTGAGCTCAGAAGCCTTCAGGATTGTTGTAAACCTAGGTCCATACACGACCGGCGTTTTATTCGCAATCTGCTGGGGGAACATGGCGACAAAGTCCTTCTTGACACTCTCCAGCAGCTCCTCAATGTACAGCAATTGAAGGATCTTCTGGTACACGACGACAAACACCAAGTCGAGTTTGTTCTCAAACACCCATTGCAGCGCATACGTGTCGTCGATAAACTTCTTGTCGCCCGCTCGGTCTTCCATCAGGACGCGGGTAATGAGAGTGTCCACAGGGTCACTGCCCAATTTGCACAGCGTGCGCGACCACAAGACCGTTCCCGTCTTGGAGAAGATGACAAAGTGGTCAATCATTGGCAACGCGTTGTGCTCGCTCAAGCACGAGACAGACCACAAGCGCGCGGGAGGGAGTGGGGAAGTCCGATTATGGGCGGAAGAGTTGAGCTGGTGGGGAGCCTTCTGCCACTCCACGAGGACGCAAATCGATGGACGCCACACCATCTGCACCAAACGAACCCGTCAACAGCCATGGACGTTTACTGCCAGGCACTTGTGAAGGTCGAGCTGCACGCGCATATCCACGGATCCATTCGTCCGTCGACGTTAGAAGAACTCTTAGAAGATGAGGCAAGTCGAGACGGTCGTGTGCGGTGGCAAGTGCCGTCGAAGCGAAGTCTGGACGAGTGTTTTCAGATGTTCCAGTTGATCCACCACGTTGTTGTGAGTCGGCACGCACTCCGCCGAGTTGTTACAGAAGCCGTGGAAGACTTTGCAGCAGAGAACGTCAAGTACCTCGAGCTGCGGTCGACGCCTCGAAGCTTGCCGAGGGATGGTGCGACCCGTGTGGACTACGTGAAGGAAGTCGTGGCGGTGCTGGACGAGTGCTGTGCGCGACAGGACTTGGACATTCAGGTGCGACTGCTGCTGAGTATCAATCGGAACCAGTCGCTCGAAGTGGCACAAGAGACGGTGGATATTGCACTTGAGCTCAAGAACAAGCAGAAGTGTCCGTACATTGTCGGCATTGACTTTAGCGGCAATGCTGAGCGCCCCGAGTCCGAGTTTCACCGCTTTGCGCATGTCCTCAGACGCGCCCGGGACGGTGGACTTAAACTCGCCGTGCACTTTGCCGAGCATTTTGACGAGGATGAGTCGAGTCGGATCCTGGACTTTCGCCCGGACCGGTTGGGCCACGCTTGTTGTCTATCAGAACCTCTGTATGCCAAGATGTTGGCACTGCGCATTCCTGTCGAAGTCTGTCTGACCTCCAACGCACACACGCTGGCTCGATATCGTAACGAGGAAGACTGCAAGTGCCCATCTAGCGCCAATGATGAAGTGCCGGGACCATGTATGTGCGGTTACGCGTTGCACCCGCACAAGAGGCTACTTGCAAACGAGCGAGGTCAAGAGCGACACGGTGTCTACCCCATGTGTCTATGCACCGATGACTGCGGCGTGCTCGGCACGACACTGTCGCTCGAGTACATGCGTGCAGCACAGGCATTTGGGCTGAGCAACGCGAGACTTTCGGCTATCGCGCAGGCGCCAATCGAGTCGATCTTTGACCAGAGCCAAGTGCCAAGATTGAAGGCGTTGTTCAGTGGGAACACATAGCCTCGAAACCGGACGGACGTCGAGGCGACGACAACAAGCGGCTTGGTGCGCGCGCTTTGCTGCTGCTGCGAGCCACCCGATCGTTTGTTGCATCGCAGCTGCAACTTTGGCTGTCTGTCGCCCTCTCTCCACTGTGGTCAATCCAGTAGGTGCTGCTATCCCGAATCGTCAAACGAGAATACACTGCTGTTCGGATGCTTACTTTTACGACACCGTTGCTGGAAGTCCAGCACGGCTGCTACCGTCGTATGGCGAATCAGGCCGCGATCAGAGCACCTTTTCTCTGCAAGTAGCAGACGCTCCTGTTTTGTACTGGACCGAATTTCCGCTACGAAAAGCGCCTGACTTTTACGGAGAACCGTATTGCAACTACCAAACCCTATTACGAAAATACGCAGGTGTACCTGTGGAGGCCAAAGACGCGCCAGCTGTGCCTTCCGAACAATTGGCCATCGATTCAGCAGTCCCGAGCGGTCTTCGAGTTCTCCGCACAAATCGTATTCGGCCATGCTGGCGGTCAAACCCATGGTGAGGCTCGCGGCAGTCGCCGCTGTTGCTGTTGTCGCTGCGTCTACGGCCTCTGCACAGGCAGGAACTGGCTCGCTCGTCGCGTCGCCGGAGCTCGCAGCGATTGCCGAGTGCGACCCGACGCAGCTGGACGAAGGCCAAGCCGTGCTGACGTCGAATCAGCGGGCGGAACAGTGCGAGACGGCGCTGAACCTCACGGCTGGGACGATGCTGCAAGTGTCGACCGCGTCGGCTACTGAGATGTGCGACACGGCGTCCTGCCGAGCAGCACTCCAGGAGCTCTACAACGCGCTGCCGAATTGCCGCTTCGAGCTCTGGGGACTGCAATACTCGGCCATGAAGCTGCTCGAGTTCTGCGGACTAACGCCCACCAATGCGACCGTTGCGCCTCCTGCGAACGCGACCAGCGGTTTGGTTGGATGGCGCAATACCTCGGGACCTGCTTCGTTTGCGCCGGTGGGGGACACGGACGATCCTGCTACGCCCAGCCCAGTGGTGGACTCAGCTGCTGCTCCGACCACTGTCGTGTCGACTGCCGTGGCGGCGACTGTGGGCTTCGTTGCCGCGTACTTGGCTTGAGTTCTCGGCCCGGCGCTGTTTCTTTCGCTTTCCATAACAATGCAAGGAAGAACATCGATAGCCTCCTGTGGGGGAGAATGTATAACAATGTCTCTCTGCTATAATTGTGCTTCGTCGTATGTCAGTCTAGACAGAGATGCAGTGCTGCTTACCGCTGCATCTCATCATTCAACAGCTCCTCGGTGAATTCAAGTGCGTCCAAGACTGACGGCCGCTCTTCAGGGTTTGTCTGCAACATGTCCCGAATAAAGTCACAGAACTCGGCTGTAAATTGGGTGCCACGGTGGTGCACTATGCCGCCTTGCTCTGGCGGGAAAGACACTTGGCCGTTTAAGTATGCCGATTCCAAAAAGCCCTGCCCGCATGCAATGAACCAACAGTATTACACAGACATGATGCAACGTGCCGCATCGTAAGAGGGCGCTAGTTACCTTGTGCGGATGCTCGAACGGGCTTGTTCCGAATGCCATTGCGTATCTGCGAAACACAACAGGTGAAAGTGTTGGTGACTGGGAACAGCATCCCTGTCAGCGCGTTGTATACGTACAGCAGACAGCCAAGGGACCACACGTCTGACTGGCCATCCACCGCGATGCCAGCAGTTGGTTTCAAACTTTCTGGCGCCTGGTACGGGGCTGAGCTTTTGCGCATTGGGTCGCCCTGCGGCTCGAGCAAACTCCGGTGTGAGTTTTCTTCAGTGTAGATCGGAGCGCAGCTGCCAAAATCTGTAACCACTGGGATATACGCGAGAAAACTCCCTCCAGTTGATGACGAAGACAGCAAGACATTGTGCGGCCTGATGTCCCTGTGGCAGAAGCCAGCTCGGTGCAATGCAAGCACGCCTGAACAAATGCCATGGAAGAGGTGCAATGCTATGCGCTGAGTGAATGGCCACAAAGGCGACGACGACAAACTCGCTGAGGTGATCGCGTCCCATAGACTTCCGCGGTCAAAATACGGGACCAAGAAGTGGAACTGCAGGATGGGGCAACAGATGAAGCAGTCAGTTTGGTGAGGGCAGCCAGGGACCTCCACGAACACGATGCCCGTACCTCTGTTCCTTGTTGGACGCGTGTCTCGGAAAACTCAACCAGTGGCATGATGTTCAAGTGCTTGACGGACTGCAGAATACACAGCCACCATCAGAACGATAAACGACGCTACCAAAAGATGTAACACATGTAGGCGTACGCGAAACACCTGAAGCTCCATCTGCACGTCGTTTTCAACATTTTGGGATCGGCAAAGAATTCGCTTGAGAGCGAACGTTTCGTTCGTAGCCGATGAGCGTACCAACAGGACGTGGGCATTTGTACCCTCAGCAAGGAGCCGCACAACTTGGACGCTGACGCTACCAATCTGGATGACTTCACTCTGCTGTACAGATAACAAGACAAGGAAGCCGTCCGTGAGCATAAGAAACAAGGCCACCTGAAAGCAAACATACCTTGGTTACATTGACGCCGCTACTGGATATCGTTGCACTGATAGACGACAGCAACGAGCCTCCCCACTTCTTGGCCTTCTCAGCCGTTGCTGTCGCCCCTTTCTTGGCATCCTCGATTGACATTTTCTTTGCAAAGTCGTACGCTTGCTCCGTCTGTTTGCGCAAATAAGTCTGCGCGTCCTTGGCAGCATCCGTCCATTCTGTCTGCTGACGCGCACCTGACTCTCTGTTCAATGTCGCTTCTTCACCATCGTACACACATCTCGATCCCCTGCTGCCATCATCGTGATTGTCGTACGCCTTGTCATCTTTTTGATAGCTGCTGCGATTCCAGTCATTGTGCGTACGCTCCTCTAGTCGCATTCGATCCCGTGAAGGTGGACGATCCATTGGCGCATAGACCTCTTCATCTACAGCGTCCACATCCCACGTCAGCATGAGCATGTATCAACACAACTGCACACACTCTGTTCCTTCGTACCCTGCGACTCGTACGTCGTCGACTCAAGTTCCTCGTAATCATCCAATCCATGACTCCGGTGCTCCACTGTACCGCTACTGGCGTAGCTACTCGCGCGAATCTTCGTCTCTCCTGACACCGTTGCAAACGAAGCAGCGGAAACGGCGTCACGGTAGTCGTCGTACCGCAAGTACTCGACCGTTGGCTCGTCCTCTAGCGGCGTGACGCGAGCGAGGATCTTCCGTCCACAGAACGGTACAGCCGAGTCCGGATTTGTCAAGTCCAGATATGCTCCGTCTTTGCAGCGGAAGGCAAAGTGATGGCGATTGCCGAGCGGGAACGCTTTGTGCACATCTGCGAGCGTTACGCGGCGTCCAGCACGCGGTAAGGGCAGTACGAACGCGTTCCAATTGGCATCAGGGACATGCGGTTGGTTCTCTTGCACGGGCTCGAGCGGCTCACCCGCGAGCGAGTACAGCACGAGCGTCGTGTCGCATCGCGGCCCTCGTATCGCCGTCGCCGTCGCCGTCGTCGTCATCCCATTGGTCGGACGTTCTGCTCTCATTTGGTTTGCCAAGTTTTGGTTTTAGGTCGTTGTTTTGTCGTAGTAGACGAGGCGAAGGCGTGAGGCTGTTTGAGAGGTTGGCGTCTGACGTAGACATTGAAGTTGCAAAATTGTACATTACAAAAATACATGAGCTGATAAAACAATGCATTAAAACGAGTGAGAGAAAAATGCACCACTAGATGAGAAAGTATGAAAATGCACCGATGATGTATACTGAACGACGGAGTTAGCACATGTCTGGGATCACATGGATAAAACTCGAGAGTTATTACAGTATTTCATGAAAGTGCTGTTGCAAACTATAAAGTAGAGCATTTCCGACCATTTGGTTGCGCCGGATCAATCTTTTGTCTCCATTGATCACATCGGATCACAGCGTGCGAGTTGTTAGCATGCCGGTACCTTTGCCACGGTGTGCATGAACTCTACAATGCGAGCAATATAGTTCAGTGCCCACGCAGGTAGAGCGACTATGTTAAGAACGTATAGCATCATGTTGTATCAGTATCTTGTATCTCATGTTCGAAGCGGACCATCAGGTCCGAGCTGCAACGCTTTTGTGCATTATATCCTACACTACAGATGACACGTTGAGCCCATCTTTGCAGTATTCATACCGCAATGTCACGCGGACATCACTACCATCATAAACAGAATATCTGGATGAAAGAGGCAGAATCAATGCGGCTTTACAATCGCATGATAGACAACACTTTGTGGTACGCATGGAGCGTCGAGGTATAACCTTCTTCGTGCAACACGACTGTTGACAACCTAGATGTATAGGCTTTTCAACCAATAGCTGAGCGATGGAATGAAGCAGATATACGTGGACATTTTTCCCAGGTATGTGCATATTTGGTATGTTCTCAATCCAAGACCATCGTTTTATTGTTATTGTTGTTGTTGTTGTTCTTCTTCTTCTTCTTCTTTTCTTCTTCTTCTACTACTACTACTACTACTACTACTACTACTACTACTACTACTACTACTACTACTACTACTACTACTACTACTACTACTACTACTACTACTACTACTACTACTACTACTACTACTACTGCTACTACTACTACTACTACTACTACTACTACTACTACTACTACTACTACTACTACTACTACTACTACTACTACTACTACTACTACTACTACTACTACTACTACTACTACTACTACTACTACTACTACTACTACTACTACTACTACTACTACTACTACTACTACTACTACTACTACTACTACTACTACTACTACTACTACTACTACTACTAATACGATGATTTTAGTTAGTATAATTATACAATTTAATTAATTGACACAATTCATTATATCTCTCTATGTTTTTATCGTCCTTTTCTGTTTCTGAACATTTTATCGGAGCCGCTATTCACCACTCGCTTTTCGCTAACCACCACTCACACTCCGATATTAGAATTGTGATTGGCTAATTAGATTAGTGGAAACGAACACACTGATACTGATCTCGCTAGCGTTAAAACGGACGCTCTTATTGACATAAAGACATCGACATTCAAAACACCACTTGCATCAGTATTCATCCTTTGACTTACACCGGTTTTTGGTGCAGCCTCCTCCACAAGAGGTTATTTATGTATGTGGTCACTCCAATTGGAAAAACAATGAAGCGCACCCAACTATTTTTGAAGAGCGCACCTCGTACAGGCATGGAGTTACCTTGACCGTCTAGGTGTGCTACCGGCGACCAAGGCCTTCATTACACGTGTCCATCATGGCTGTGGGCGTCCTGTTCGTGCTCTTGGGCACCAATCGCTGGGACACCTATTGCAGAGTTCCACTCAGCGGGATCCATCGCATGTTCAATGAGAATTCTTTGCGTCCTCTACGTCGATGCGGTAACAGTGGAAGTAAGTAACAGCTTTCGCGCTTCTACAGGCAGCGCAACTTGTCAATGAGTGCGAGGAAGTGTGTGCCAAGAAGTAAATATCAAAGTGAGATTCATTGTTTATCTCTTTTACATGTAAATATAAACAACGTGCTTGTAACACGAGAAGGAACGTATTCACGGAAACCCCCCTTTAAACTCCACGACTCCTGCCGACCCCATCAATCATCACTCATCAATCAGTAGGCTGCACAGTACTTGAAGTCACACGTCATTCCCGATCTCTCTTGTCGAGTCCAGGCAGTTAGACAGAAAACGCGAGCTTCATTTTCCAATAACGAGGTATTGATCATTGGCAGGACACAACAGTAGACGATGCCGGTGACCTCTTCCAATTCCCGCAGTGATTGTATTGATAACTCTCCATGCTCTTGGTGCTAAGAACGAATGAAAGCACATGGATATTCATCAAAAGTAAACGAGCAGTATCTGGACATGGTAGCGCTCGCTGATAGTCAACCATAATATAGTACAAACTAAAAAGCCTTCGTACTTGACTATTTTTCAACGATTTCACAATTTCGCGTGAAAATTTGCGCTTCTTTAATATTTGTTTTATTAATTTACATTTACCTAACCACAGCGCGAGAGAAGTATGCAGGGTATTACAAAATGGGGGGGGAGTAGTATTTAGCGAAATTTGAGTGGCGAATAGCGGAGAACTATCAAAAGCATTTTCAATATTCAGTGCGCTTTTGTACCTTCCTGATTATGATATGCATTGTTTTGCTTTTCCTTTCATCGATGTATATATGTGTATGTTGGTGTTAAGCTTGAGTTCGCTTCTAGACTCGTGGTACCGTATCGCGGTTTGTAAAGAGAGTTGTGACAATGAAAAAAGAGGGATGTAATGTATCCATTCGTAGTGTAAGGAAGCGTTAGTCCCTGATCACAATTGAATATAGTGACATCAGCGGGAATCAGTCTACGTCAATACTTATGGTTAGCGCCCATGAGAGCGATTCTGAAGCTGACATTGCTACATACGTGATCACATACTCGATGGTTCGTTGCTTACACAATGTGCCTCGTAGGCTGCAAACCTTGATTCGAGCGAAAGATCTTGATCTTGGACATTGATAGATTTATTCTGCAGCAATGCATCGTTCTTTTCCCTCGAAACAATCAACTTGTGTGTCACTACAGTATCAGGATGAACCGATACGCCAAATAACAACTCTGCACATCGCAATGACCTGTATTACTACCGTTCAGAGTTTATGCAGAGAACCAAACAATTGTGTAATCGGCTAGTCTGATCTGGAACGAACGCTCATCGAACTTACACGACAGTAAATCGCAATTGATGTCAGGACTGGCCATTGCACAAGGTGCTCTAAATAAGTCGCCGTTAAGAGCAAGTGAAATTCGACTGAATGAGAAGCGATTGATCGGTTTCGACGAGGTTGGGAGCATCGCAAGGAGATTTATATAGCGCTTTACAAGTCTTCAGTAATATTTGGATGCTGAAAGGATCCACAACATTTAGCGGCAACGCTGTGAAAATGGGCAGGCTACTATGTTTCACGACCGGATCACTATAGCCGTCCAAAGGTTTATCCCAGAAGGGCAAGAAGACGTACTATTTTCGACATCATCGAGCGCATACCAAAACAAGGAAGTCCACAAGGTCATCTATGGCGGGACACACACCACAATTTATGATGAACAACTCGATCCAACGGTGCTATTTTATGGCAGCCCAAGAATAGTCACACATTTGGTAACACGACCTGCGCAGCTCTTATTTCATCAAATCATTACCATCAAATTGTATCATCGGATAATGATGATCCATATACAAGAGATGAGTTTGCAATACTTTCGGTGACTTCCTAGATTCATAGAATAGAAAGGAATTGGTCGCGAATGAAATGTACGACACCGTTTGTTGTCTTGTTGAACGAATAATCTTGTCAGTCATTCCGATTCGATTTTTTTACTTAACCGTGCTAGCTAGACTGAAGTAGAACCAGCAAAAACTGCACTCATCAAAATTAAATAAATACGAATGAATAATGATGCATTTGCCCGAAGACGCCACGAGTGAGCTTTGGCTTTTCTTGTCATAAAAAAGCCGCATAGATTGCTAGTTCCAACATACTGAGATTCAACATGTACAAAGAGAGATTGAAAATGCTGTCGGAATTGATCTCGCATACATAGAAGCGGGCAACACACCAACATGAATAGATTCTTCTACATTATGTCGCTATTAAGTTTATCTAGCAGCGCTGTAACGGTAGTAAACCTGGGAGGTACAACCACGGTATGGGTACGTGTACCTTATGGTATACTAATCATTTGAAGTAGATGATACTACGTATGGATGTGAAGGCGTTTCAGCCACCCAATATATGCGTTTCAGATCTTATTCTAGTAGATAGTAAAACCTTACACTTAAGTACTTGGACGCGTTTTATCCCCGCGTCAAAATGAAGTACGTCTCAGTTCATATTTGATCCCTGCAATACACGTACCTTGCAAAGGAGTCTTAGGTCGCTAAGCGTTTACGAGCCGCCTTAAGGCATTCATGATCATGATCAATTTTTACTGCCGATTCTATAGAACGTTTAGTCCTTTTTACCAGGACTAAAAGCATTTGTGAGCTAGTGGACTTGCTCCCGTAACTAGCTCACAAAGCCTTACATTGTTGTTTCGAAGAGCTTTTTACTCGCTGAGTCGTATATATTTAAACTTGTTGACTTGTGAAGTTGTCGTTTGTTCTACGAACGCATCGAATCTTTAAGGATAGTCTGTCTCGGGCAAACTAGATGTGGTATCTCATCATTGTCAACGAACATGGCGATTTTGAATTGGAAAAACTAACAGACCTCGAAGTGTTGTAACACCGTGTTAAAGGAAACGAATCGATAAGCTGAGGTACTCGGACCAGGAGATATGTGGATCGTGGGGCAGTACGAATCGTATTTCTGAAGAGTGGATACTCACAGCTGAGCATCCGTATTACTAAATACACCGGGCGTTTATACTTGGTTATGCCACAAATCTCTTTCGACATGATAGAGCCCCCCTTCTGACAGATTGAATTTAGAGTAAAGGCTCTAATA